CAATGTAAGGATGTGACCTCTTAGAAAGGGAGGAATAAAATACTTGAGATTTCAAATGAGTACAAAGAGCATAAATCTTATTTTGTAGGAAAAAAAAGTCTAGGTTAATAGGTCTGTAGTCTGGGTGTTCATACACCCAAATCCTAACACTTCAAATTGGTGGGATTATAGATAATTCATTGGCTTTTATAAATTTAAAGTGAGAACAGTACTATTTAAGGGCAGAGATTGAGACATGCCCATTTATATGTATCCCTTATTGTATTAGTCAGCTTGGGCTGCCATAACAAAATACTATAGACTGAGTAACTGAAATGAGAAACTTATTTTTCATGGTTCTGAATGCTAGAAATCCCAGATGAAGGTCCAGTAGTGGGGGGGGGGGGTTCTGGTAAGGGGACTCTGCACAGAGGAAAGTATTTCTCGTGTGAATAATCTACTAAAATAGTCCTCTTTCATCCATTTTATTTGACTGAAAATGTACCTTTGTATACTTTTGAAGTGTACATAGAAGGCCACCAAGAATGAACCACAGAAATTTTGAGATGACTATGTTCATTATCTTTTTGCTACATTAGAAATGAGAATAAACTGAAAAGCTGCAAAAGCACACAGCATCATGAAGATTATGAAGTTCAGAAGTTACAGAATCATTATAGAAGTTAAATGCAGTTTTCCCTGTAGAGGGTCCTAGAACTACACACAGTGATCATCAATGGTGAGATTATTGACATCAGCTGCCATCTAGACTTTGTACACAATGGGAAGTTTACAAACAAGCTTTAGGCAACATTGGCTACCACTGACCTCTTAGCCAAAGAGTGTAGGTAAGAAGCCATCACAAGGTGCCCCAGATCTCTGAAAACACATAGGTTTACAAAAATAAGCCTAAAATGAAGACCCTGAGGCAACGTTGAAAAGTTTGCTCTTGGTTGGCAATCTCCATTTTAGGATGTTTGAAAACATTCTCTCTCCTGCTAAGATTAAGTTCAGGTGCCTTAAAAAAAAAAAAAAAAAAACCTCTCTGCTAATTCAATGAAGGCTTCATATAAACTTCAAATTTAGAATACCGAATCATTAAATATCTATCCTCACAGTGGGAGGCTGCATATATAGTCACATGTGTGCATATTCTTCGTCAGAAAAATTATTTAAACCTATATTAACTGTGCTTTTACTTCTATTTTATAAACAGGTTTATATTGCCATTTTCCAACAGATTATTTTAGGACTGAGAAGCAAGTTAAACATTTTCTTTAGATTTATCTATTCTTGTACAATTAGGAAGTTATACCTTTTCAGATAATTTTGGCTAACTTTGGTATACTGAAATAAAGATGACATGACAAAAAAGTAAGTACTCCTCAGCTTTTAAAAATACACTTGTGGTTTCTCCAGAAAGATATAATTCGAGAGAGCAAAATTGATCCCTTGAATTTGGAAGCCTTGAATGCACCCAAGCTCCAAATTTGTTCTCCCACCTTGTTATCAGGTAGAGAAGACCAAAACCACAGTTTGCATAGTTCTTAAGGTATAATGGTCAAATTGTTGGAGCAGAAAAGCATCTAATAAGCAAAAGTGGACAAAATTAAGATTGTTTTTTAGTCTGAAGTTCAGTATTCCAAGATTGGTTGTAATGTAGTTTTAGTAATTTTCTAATAAGAAACTAGTTTATTCTTCCATTACTACCAGGGCTAATCATGTGAGAACCACTTATACAAACCAAGTAAGACAACTATTTGATATTTTAAACTGTCACATTAAATATAATGATTCTCTAATTATTGTTCACGTTGTGGCAAAATTCACTAAAAGACAGGTATATTTACTGAACCTATCAACTTTCACCATCACTTGTCCCCATGTGGGGGATTTCTACCCCCTGACTTACTTTCCTTCAAGGGGAGTATTTTAGATAGCTTTTTTCACTGCTGTGACATAACAACTATAGAGGAGAAATAGTTTATTTGAGGGCTCATGGTTTCAGAAGTCTATTCATAGACAGCAGACCCCATTCATCAGGGCTCAAGGTGAGGCTGAACATCAAGGCAGAGAGAAGCAGCTCACACAATGATCAGAAAGCAAAGAAACACCAGCCACCAGATACAAATATATATCCCAAAGCCACACCCTAATGCCCCACCTCCTCCAGACACACCCCACCTGCCTCCGGTTACCACTCAGTTAATCCCATGAGGGATTAATTCACTGATTAGTTTAAGGCTCTCACAATCTAATCATTTCTCCTCAGAACCTCTGGCATTGTCTCACATGTGAGCTTTTGGGGAATCCCCTCACATACAAACCACAACAGGTAGAGTAATTTTTTCACCAGTATTAGTTTTCTTCAGTTTTGATCTCACAAGTCTGTCTTATCACACATCTTGGCTAAAAAAAAAAAAAAAAAAAAAAAACTGAAAAAATATTTAACTGCCAGAACTATTATTACACTAAGGGATCACAGCTACAAATTCTCACATTTAATAGTAATATTAATTTTACCTGCTGATTTTTAACAGGAAAATAGCAACAAAACCTTAGAAAGGTCATGTTTTTATTAAAATACTTTCAATTTTACATCATTTGCCCTTTTCTAGTAGACAGTAAATGACAGGGAATGAAGATGTAATAAAAAACAAGATTCTCTACAAATGCAGAGCCAATGTGTATGAACTCTTAAAATCACAGCAAAGGTAAAATGAAGGTGATAGAAGCACATGAGCAGATGAGGTTAAAACACCAAAAAACATTTAGATTTTGAGTAATTAATGATTTTGAAACAGAAGATTGCATTTTTAGAGCATCTTCACTTTCTTCTGTTCAATTAATGTTTTCAGCATTTGGCAGGGACAAGGGAGTTGGAAAGTATCACACAAAAAAGGATGGCATAGGACAATTGTACAAATTTGTTTCCATTTCATATGTCCAAATACAGTAGATTAAGATGCTACAGTAAGAGAGGGAAGGGTTTATCCTATTCATAACTAATTACATACCTCAGAATTGCTTTCTCTGACACTGGTTTGAAAATGCTGTGAAAAGAAACAGCTATTATGGGGTAAACCAAATAGAGTTGAATCTTACTTCACCATGTTTTTTTCAGTGCAAAGGGAGAGGTGAGGAGATGAGGCTTAGTGGTGCATGGCAGTAGACTTTATGAAATGCCTGATGCTCTCTGAACATCAGGCATTTCATCCAGGATAGATAATAGGAGACTACACAAACCCAAAGAGAGCTTTCCTACGTGTGCCTAACCCCTCCCTGGTGGAGTAAGACTTGTCTAGTGCTCAGAGTAGAATGTGAGGTCCCCAAGCAGCCAGAAGTCTCTCTATCTCCCTTGAGGGTGCTTTCCTCCACTTCTTTCTCTTCTAATAAACTTTGTTATACTATTACCAAGTCTCATGCCTTGCTTTAAATCCTCTCATGTGAAGACACAAGAGCCAAGGACACAATGCAAACTCTGGTAAGAGTTTATTTCAGGTATGATCTTTTCTCTGTTTTAAGTAAATTGGTGCCTAGAAAAACTTGCTCCTGAAAGACTCCAAGGAATGTGATGATGAAAGAAATGTCTGCAGTCTTTAGGTTGGAATCAAAGTAAAGCAACCATGATTTTAAAGTAAAATAGTATACTCATAAAACATCTGAAGAAATCTATCTGCACAATTGGCTTGTGACCTATCCTGTATATTCCCACTGCAGCCCTCTAATTCTTCTAGCCTGCTGACCCTGGGAAATGAGTGACTAATAAATGTCCAAACTCTTTCTTGTGAGTCTTCTTCCAAGTTTTACCTTTGATTGGTAAACACTATGCTGGAGCATGTGCAGCCCTGGGATTAAACAAAAGAAAATATTTTTTAAAATGAAAAAAGTAAACAAATTGTTTGAAAACATTAGAATGAAGAACAAAGAATAAAATTTTTAAAAGTATATAAATAAAAATAATAAAAGGGTAAAAAAGAAAGTATAGAATAAAAATATGCAATTAAAAATAAAAAAGGAGGGCTGGGGATGTGGCTCAAGTGGTAATGTGCTCGCCTGGCATGCGCGGGACGCTGGGTTCAATCCTCAGCACCACATACAAATAAAATAAAGATGTTGTGTCCACCGAAAACTGAAAAATAAATACCAAAAAAAAAAATTCTCTCTCTCTCTCAAAAATAAATAAATAAATAAATAACAAAAAAGGAGAAAATACATATCATTAAAAATAAAAATAAATAAAACTATTCCATCTGGCTGAGGTGCTCAGAATACAAGTGAAGGGAGATGGTCATGGGCTCTGCTAATCTAAGATTCTCTGGGTCATCTCAGGCTGTGCACCTCTGAGGCAGGAAGTGGGCTAGGAGTTGTTGAGCCCCCAGTTTTCAAGTTGTGATAAACATCAGGTGTAAGTGGTAGCTACAGCTAATTGAAATTCCTCTCAACTGGAAGGAATGGCACAGAATGCAGGCCACTCCAGGCATGTAGTCTCTATAACTTCTTTTTTTAAATTCTTTTTTTATTGATTTTTTAGATCTCTCTCTCTCTCTCTCTCTCTCTCTCTCTCTCTCTCTCTCTCTCTCCTTCCTTCGTTCCTTCCTTCCTTCCTTTCTTCCTTCCTTCCTCACCAGGGATTGAATGCAGAGGCACTTACCCACTGAGCCACATCCCCAGCCCTTTTTATATTTTCCTTAGAAACAGGGTCTCACTGAGTTGCTTAGGGTCTAAGTTGCTGAGGCTGGCTTTGAACTTGCTATCCTCCTGCCTCAGCCTCTGTAGCTGCTGGGATTTCTGGCATGTAATGCACTCATCCCTCTAGAACTTCTTATCTGTGTATCCTGGCACACACTTAAGCTGTATACCTGGTACCCACTGTGGTCCTGAAGCCTCTGAGTTTGGGTCACTATTGAATCACAAAAATGTTTGCTGGGAGATGTATAGTGGAACCCCATGACCCCTCAACGAAACCATGTGACTGATCTTGTCCTGTTGTAGGGACAAACGAGGCAAGGCACAGAAGATAGCAGGAAACAGTTTTATTTGGCTGCAGCCAGGTTCAGAGGGTACAGCTTTTGCTGTAATCAATCAATCCTCTGAACCCCCCGAGTTCAGGGAGTTTCAGTGTTTTATACCCAGCATGTAAGGGGAGGGGCTCAGAAGTTCACAGTCTGCAGAAGTTCACTTAAAAGCAGCTTTTTCTTTCACTGTTCTGGGCAAGTTAACTCTTCAAGGACAACACCTGAGAAGGGGAGAGCTTCTTCTCCCCTTTCTTTCCTCCCCCTGCCAGATGTTACCATGGGCCCATTTATAACTTATCTTAAAAATATAGACATCTCTGTGAAGCTCAGCTCAAGGCCAGAGGCCTTGTTTGCACATTTCTTCAAAGTACTATACTGATATGTTTGTGAAAAACTAGTAAGGGGATGTCCAGCACCTGGAGTGCTGGTATCTTCTCGGCCAGTGGCCAAGTAAACAGGGTGACATGAAAATAGGAAGTTTATCTACAATGGACTCTTTTGCTGACAGTCCTAGAATTAGCCATGGTGAAGAGGGCTTTTCTGTGGAGAAAGGGGTGCCACTTCAATTCCCCCCTTTAATGATGCTCCCCATAATTTAATCCTTTAAATTTAAGAGCATCATTACCATTATCTTGGCTTAAAGTCTTATACAATGTCAAAACCTTAGTTGTTGCCATCCTTTTAACAGCAGCTTCTATAGTGGACCCAATAGTTTTAATGCACAGTGGAGCCAAACATGGGAGCAATGAACAGGTTAATAGCGGAATACCCATTACACCAGTTAAGCTTTTAAATCTACCAAGAGTTGAAAACCATCTGCCAAAAGCATGTTTGGGACCCAAACTTCAATTCCCTTCTAGGTATGAATGAGCACATGTGCTAGTTCTCTTGTGTTGTTGGCTATATCCTTAACTGCTTGCCTATCCATTTGGATGCAATAATCTGAGCTGTTGAACTCTCCACATATTTCTTTTTCCTTAGCCAGTAGGTAATCTCATGCCAAGCAGTTTTGATAGTTAGCCACTTGCATCTGATCTGTTGTGTGGCTAGGATGTCAAAGGCTATGGCAGTCTTATTAATAATAATTTCTAGTATAGCTTGTAAGTGAATAATTCTGTTTAACATGTAAATAGGAGTTCTATAATTTCAACTGCCATTTTGTCCCCAGGTAGCAAGACCATAAGTGGCAATAATCCTCTGGGATGGCCAGTTACCTTCACCCCAAGATTGGTGACCTCCTAAATCAAGTTTCTTTCCAATGGACCTCTTTTTCCTTTCCAAACAGTTATCCATCTATAACATTCCTCTGGTGGGACAGGTCCTAAATATATGTTTTACCACCTCTTAGTTATAGTGGATTGTCTTGACACATGGTTCACATGATCTCCATGGCTGGAATAGGAGTAGGGCAGAACCTCTTAAGGTTATCAAAGGAAACCAAACTAAATAATAGACTAACATTTTGGTTAGCATAGGTTAAACAGCATAAATTAACAAAGCCAAACTAATAACACCAAACAAATCCTAGAAAACTTATATAACCAAGATAAAAAAATAGATATATAAGTGAAATTTTGTTACCCAGAGTCCAGTCAGTTAGGAGTTACTGTTATCAAACCAGTAGCTAAAACCAAACAGAGAACTGTGTATATACCTAGAAGCAAGGGGTGGCAATGCATTACTGTATAAGAACTATCTCAGAGGTTGAAAGAGTTTCTTAATCCCGGTGGGAAGTTTATCTTTCACCATGTATTGATCAGTTAGTCCCTCCTGTGTGGCTGAAACAGGGCCGCAGTCTCCTCAAGCTTCGGCCGTGCGTAGACCAGTCAGCTTCCGGAGTGACTGGAGCAGGGCTGTTGTCCTTCTGATCCTCAAGCTTCTCTGGTGCTTCTTTTTCTTCAGGATGGTCAGCTTCAAGGGCGTATCAGCATCTGGAGAGCACTCCCAGTCCGCAGCTGCAGGTGTGAGTCTGGTGTAGTGAATCCAGGGACCTATCTCTGCAAACTTTACTGCAGTTGGGGTGGATAAAATAACATTGAAAGGGCCCCTCCAAAGAAGTTTAGAGGCTGAATATTTCATTCTTTGACCCAGACTCAATCTCCAGGCTTGAAGGAGTGTGCACCTGGGTCAAATTCACTGACAATCTTTCTCTAACCCATTGGTTGAGAACCTGTAAAGTTTTCCCTAAGACCTGAAGCTGTCGACTCAGGGTTAATTTTCCTATCTTTCTTAAGTCTCCCTGTAGTCCCCTAATAAGAGGGGGGGCTCCTATATATTATCTCAAAAGAAAAGAATCCAGTCCTCCTAGTGGGAGTGGATCTAATCCACAACAGTGTGATAGGGAGAAGTTGAACACAATGTAAGTCTCCTGACACAGCTTACCCAATTGAGCCTTAAAATCCTGTTCATCCTTTGAACTTTACCAGAACTCTGCAGCCTATAGGCAGAACGTAACTTTCATCTGATATGTAAACTCTTGGTTAGTAATCATATCACTTCTGCCCCAAAGCTGGCCTATTGTCTGAGCCAATAATTATTGGGACACCTTAGCCTTTTCAGTGCGGGTGGGAAAGGCTTCCACCCAGTCAGAGTATGAACTCACAAAAAACAAAAGTTATTTATAGCCCCGTGAGCATGGTAGTTCAGTGAAGTTTACTTCCAAGTCTTCAAAAAGTGCTCCTCCTATAGTTTGGATTCCTGGTGAAAGCTTTGGCCCCTGACAAGAATTGTTGTGAGCACAAACCTCATATTGTTTGCAGATCATCCAGGTGATGTTTGTGAGCTGGGGGTCATAGAAACGTTGACTCAGAACTGTCTCAAGTGCTGTATGTCCAACATATTTTTGCGAAACTGTTTGATAAAGGCTGGGGCTAGAAACTCCGGGATGGCTATTCCAGCCATCAGAAAATCTCCACCATCCACCTGGGAGAAAATTTTCTTGTTCAGTCTTAAATCACTTACTTTCATGTTGGGAGTGTGTTGGCTCCCATTTTGTTAGCTAGTCGGCCAGGCAAAAGGGCAGCATTTAAACCTGGGACTGGATTTTCTTCCCGTTTCTTGCAGACAGCTAACCTGGCCTTTCTGTCAGCTCTCCTCCTGTTGCCCTGAAAAACCACAGTGTTTCCCATTTGATGACCTTGGCAATATATAATCACAACTTTCCTGGGAGCCCACAGTGCATTTAAAAGTTCAAGAATTCCTTGCCCATACATCATGCCTTTTTTTTTTCTCCTGAGTTAATGAGCCCCTTTTCCTTACATAAGGCCCTATGAACATGAAGGTAGCCAACGCATATTTTGAGTCTGTAAATATCCACACAGACTCCTGCTGTCAACTGAGGTGCTTGAATCAAAGCAATAAGTTTTACTTTTGTGCTGAAGTTCCCTGAGGCAGACATTCTGCCTCGACAGTAGAGTCCAGAGTGACCATTGCATATCCAGCAAAACATACCTCATCTTTTACAAAACTGCTTCCATCTGTGAAGTACTCTGCATCAGCGTCCTCGAGAGGCTGGTCTGTTAGGTCTGATCTGCTGGAGAACACTTCATCCATGACCTCAACACATTTGTGATCAGGTTTTCCAGGTCCAATGGGCAGCAAAGTTCCTGGGTTTAGAGGTCTGATGACCTCAACATAGATATGTGGGTTTTTACATAACATGTCCTGATATTTGACCAATTTTTCATTAGTCAACCAATAGTGTTTTAACAATGTCAAAATTGAATGAGGAACTCTGACTACCAGTTCTTGTCCCATGGCCAGTTTATCAGCTTCCGATACCAGAAGAGCTGTGACTGCAAGAGCTCAAAATAAAGGTGGCCAGCCCTGGGCTACAGAGTCCAGCTGTTTGGACAAATAGGCCACTGGACGGTGCCATGTCCTCAGCATCTGAGTCAAAACTCCCACAGTTACTCCAGACAGATCATGGACATACTGAAAGAAAGGCTTTGTGAGGTCAGGGAGCCATAATCCAGGTGCACAGGTGAGTGCTTGTTTAATGTCCTCAAAGGCCTTTTGCTTAGTTGACCCCCATATAAGAGGATCCCATTTCCCCCCTTTGTGGCTTCATAGAGGGCTTTTGTCATAACTGAAAGTTGGGGATCCGTACATGTCTGAACCTAGTAGCCCCCAAGAATTCTCTAGTCTGATGGCAGGTTGAAGGGACTGGAATTGAGCAGAGCTCCTGTTTCTTTTGAGGCCCAGTTGCTATTGTCTGTTCTGTTGTCGAGTCAGATGGTAACCAAAGTATTTGACCTTTTTCTTGGTAGATATGGGGTTTTAAGTCAGAGTCCAGTGCTGTCCCAAGGATGATGTACTCAAGCCCCTGGGAGGAACTGTCATTTAGGGAAGGGAGGCGTACATAGAGTGTCTGGCGCTTTAGGATGCAGGATTTTTTTTTTTTGTTATCTCCCAGTGCAGGATCTTGGTTGCTAGGATTCTCCAACTCTTAAATCTTAGCAGAGGCTGATGACCTGGGACATAATTTGTGTAAAAGGCACCTATGTAAATCTCACCGTGGGCCGTCTGCGGTTCCATGCAAGTCCCAGTGTGGCAGCCACATTGTGTCCATCTAGCTGTTGCTCTTTGCATGGTTTTCTCCTCTTGTCAGGTGGGAGCCTGCTCTAATTGTCTATAGTAGCTGCCCCGCTTGTGTTTTGTTCAGTATGCTTGGTTGCATGGGGCTCTGTGGCCCTTCCTGCTGGTGGCTCACAGCATGCGGCTTGGAGCCAGGGTGGCATGTCCTTTTGGAGTGAGCACCCTATGGCTCACTATCAGCTGTTAACATGAACATATTCCTGGCTCATTTTGGGGCTTGCAGCAGCTGAGCCCTCCTGAGGCACTGGGTCCCGTGCATCAGATACAGTTGTGTGTGTCTATTGGACCCCTGCCATATTCGTCAATCACAGACTTCCGAGCAAGTGGGAAGAAACTGAAAGGAGAGGCTGACGCCAAAACATTCATTGCTTTTCTGTTCAAGTCTTAGCTTTTGAGCATGGCAGTGGGTACTTGTCTGCCAGGGCCATTGGTGGCTTCCCCTTTTGTCTGGCCATGCTTTTTTTTTTTTTTTTCCTTATAAACATTTGGACCATTGTCTTTGTACTAGTGAGACCCCCCTTTGAGTGAACTCCGGGTTTGTAAGGAGATCCATCCTCCTCTTTATCTTTCTGGTCTGCCTGTCTTTGAGTCTCTGGCACGCTTCTCAGTAAAGCCCTCTAGGATTGTAATTTTTGTCAAATGGCTCTCTGAGCCTGTCCCACAAAGGCTGCATTGATCACCTGTTGCTTGTGCCTATGCATTTCTTCACTGACAAACTTGCACTGTGGCTGCAATGTTTGTATGGTGCCCCCCCCCCAGCACCTTTGGGCAGGGAGAGGGGCGGCAGCCGCGGTGGCCTGGACATTTAGCTCTGAGTCAGTTGGGCACATCTCTTTTGATTATTGCTGCCAGTTTCATAGGGCAGAGAGGCCTTAGGCAGATGTGGGGCCGAGAGAAATATTCAGGCTATCGAGGGTGCGAGAGGGAGACGCTGGAGCAGCAGGAGGCTTATCTCGGCTCTGTTTGTCTGCAGATGTGTTCAGCTTAGGCTGGGGCTCAGGGCTGGCTCCAATTCCTTCTAACTCTTGGGCACAGACAGTGTGTTTTTTTCTCTTTTTTTCTTTTCTTTTAGACTTCCTAGGAGGGCTTCTTGACATCTCTCTATCTTTAGCCCTTCTTCTTTGCTGGGGCCCCATCCTAGGTCTGGATAATAGGCTGCATCAGATCAGTCATGGTACAGGGTTTCTCCATGTAGGAGGGAGTATGATTTTTCCAGTTGATGAGCACAATGGTGGTGAAAGGCTGGCACACAAAACTGCCTTGTCTCCCTTGTCTCCCTCAGACGTTTCCCTCTGGTCAACATGGGTATGTCCTTTAGTCCCTTGCAGGGGCATCTGGAGAGTTTTCATCTGGGTTGTGGTTCTGATCTTGGGACAAATCTCCCACCTTCATCTTTGGAGGTGAAAGAATCTTTGGTTCTAGGAAGCCTTTGGCTTTGAGGCCATCACAGAGGAAAGAATAGCCAGTATTGGGGGCCATCATTTGTTACCTCTGAGGACAAGGGGGCTGAGGGGACAGTCTGCTGTCCCAGTGATCTTGGCAAAATTGGTCTTGGGTCCTCTTCTGGCTCATGGGGAAAACTGTTTTCTTTCCTGTCTTTCCTAGTCAGGTTTTCTGTTTAGCTATTTTCCGCTGGGTCTTAGAGACCACTATGCTCCTGGCTAACCTCAGCTTGGACTGTCCATCTAGACAGGCTCTCAACCAAGGGGGCTGTTTTTGTATTATCTCTTGCCAGCAATCAATATAAGAGAATTGGTTCAGGGTTCCAACAACAACCAAAAGGACCTCAGCAATGACTCTCTCATCTAAAGATCCTTCTGGTGGCCATCCCACATCTTGGGTGAGCCACTCTAATTCACAGAGTCTGCAACCTTTGTGGAGTGAGTCTCACCCACAGTTACCAGGAAAACCTTCCTAAAGGCTTCTCACACACATTTCAGAAGTCTCAGTTTCCTTAGTGTGCCTCCCATGTTCCACCCTGCATCGGTGTCGCACACTTAGAACAAAACACATTTAGGACAAGACTCGCTTCGTCCTTCTCCAGCAGCTCCCCTCGCGGGGACTTAGGGCCCTCTTAGCCTAGCGGGTCGGTATCAACCCCAGACCTGGAGTTTTCACCTAGACGTTGGTTGGTGAAATTCCTCCATAGACTGTATGAGGTGCCACGGAACCGCGGATCAGGACTCTGCACTCGCTTCGTCCCTCGGGTTGGGTTGGAACCCTTCCCTTTGTCCGTCTCATTCACACACTTTCACACAGACATGGCCAGGACAGAATTTCTATACCGCCCAAATTCCAACAGTTCCAAACCAAACAGAAAAGAGAGTCACGGTTTCCCCTCTGCTCGCTGACCCCGAACAGAGACTACTCTGGCTACTCCCCGGGTCAGTTTCAGCTCCAACCACTTTGGAGGGTACTCGGGACCCAACAGAGGGTGATCAAGCCTCTCTTCCACCCGCTTAGGTCTCGAAGGGGAACTCAGGTGGGCTACAAAACCAAATGGACCCGGGTCCTACCTGTTCAGCTGGGCGGTGCTCCAAAACCCTAATTCTGGTTCCTGCTGCCTGTGGGTTCTGTTGTGCTCCAGGGTGGCAGCCCCAGGGCGCTGGGTGAGTCAATCCTCCTTCAGGCCAAGAGTGGCCTGGGCGCCAAGGGGACCACTGTCCCCCATCGCCCCAGGGAAGTCGGTCCTGGAGACAGGAGAGGCAGAATAGCCTTCCTTATCTCCTCTGTCCCATCTGGGTCACCAAAAATGTTGTAGGGACAAAGGAGGCAAGGCACAGAAGATAGCAGGAAACAGTTTTATTTGGCTGCAGCCAAGTTCAGAGGGTACAGCTTTTGCTGTAATCAATCAATCCTCTGAACCCCCCGAGTTCAGGGAGTTTCAGTGTTTTATACCCAGCATGTAAGGGGAGGGGCTCAGAAGTTCACAGTCTGCAGAAGTTCCCTTAAAAGCAGCTTTTTCTTTCACTGTTCTGGGCAAGTTAACTCTTCAAGGACAACATCTGAGAAGGGGAGAGCTTCTTCTCCCCTTTCTTTCCTCCCCCTGCCAGATGTTACCATGGGCCCATTTGTAACTTATCTTAAAAATATAGACATCTCTGTGAAGCTCAGCTCAAGGTCAGAGGCCTTGTTTGCACATTTCTTCAAAGTACTATACTGATATGTTTGTGAAAAACCAGTAAGGGGATGTCCAGCACCTGGAGTGCTGGTATCTTCTCCGTCAGTGGCCAAGTAATCAGGGTGACATGAAAATAGGAAGTTTATCTACAATGGGTTCTTTTGCTGACAGTCCTAGAATTAGCCATGGTGAAGAGGGCTTTTCTGTGGAGAAAGGGGGTGCCACTTCAGTCCCACTCTTAGAGTAAGGGTTTACCAATCTGCCTATTTCAGAGTGGTGTCCTCTGCTCCTCTCCACCTCAATACACCCCACACAGGCAGAGCAGCAGAGTGTCCATGTTGTCCCAGAGATGGACATATGCTGAGATTTCTGACCTCTAATGCAGTATAGACTCAGGACCTCTTTCAAGATACTTCCTGGCTATAGCACTCTGAGAGTTTGCTGGAGATGCAGTGAACTTCTTTAAAGCTAGCCTTCTGTGTGAATTCTGGGTCTCTTATTCATTTAGGCTGTATGTCTGTGAGGTGCAGGCTTCTGTGCCAAAAGAGCTTGCTGAGACTCTTTCTCCCTTACCCTTATCCCCTCAGAGGGGAGAAGCCCTCCCCTCCATCTGTGGTGTGGGGGCATTCTATTTCTCTTACTATGTTTATATGCTTAATTTTACCAGATCTTTTCCCTGCTACTGAATTCCAGTGCTCACCCATGGCCGCTCATCTCCACTTGCAGCTATACACTTTTCTTTAGTTCTGTCCCATAGAGGATGAAATGAGTGCTGAATGCTTCTGTTCTGCCATTTTGCCTCCTTCATTTAGGCATTTTAAAAGCTTTAAATATTTGAAAGTTTTCTGAGACTCTTCTATTTTATCTAAACTGATGCATTGAGTAAGCAGACTACTTCCCTCTTTCCATAGCTCTGTTTTGGGGTTATTCTGAAGGAACATATTCCTTTCTCAGGAAAATTATGTAGATATTCCTGATTTGGAATTGCAGGAGCAGCAGCAAATTTGTGAACACTAAAGTTTCAAATGATAAGAAGCAGAGACACACAGAGGAAAATGATTTATCTAAGTTAACAATAGATGTTATTTCTAATATGATCTCCTATCTCTAGTAATCTTGCTCGATTAATTGAGCACCTACTGTATGACAACACTGTGCTAGTGGATGACATTTTTATATGGTTATATATTTATCCTTAATCTTTATGACTTTGCCAATTACCAACTACAAATACTGTGAGAAACACATTTATGGTAGGACACCTAAAGAAATGTAATAAATTTTGTGATTCCATATGTAATAATTCCAGGCAAATGTCTTACCACACTCTTATGCATTTTCAGATTAAATGTGACAAAGTAAAACAACACAGTCGCCAAATTCCGTGTCAATCATGTACTGGTTATTAGCTTTGCCAATTAATTTTAACTCTCTGTACTTGAAGAAGACTAATATACTTTTAGAAATATTTAATACATAACATGTACTGTGATCAGGGCATGTGGAGGATGCTATAAGAACACAGAGGAAGGAAACCTAGCAAGGCTGGGAGATGTTAGAGAAATAATACTTGACCTTCTGCTCTTAAAAGTTTAATATTCAGGCTCAGTGGAATAATTTAAGTCATGCAAGAAGAACCCCCGTTAAAAATAAAAGTTCCTTCCTTCATAACCAACCATTTTTATTCCAGTGTAAGACTACTGGAGTTACCTAAAAGTATCACCATTAGAATGATTTCTCTTGATGAAAACCTCTACAAGACCTCAGTAAAATTTACAAATATTTCTAGGGAGTGGAGTACATGTTCAGAAACTATGTCTTCGGTCTGTCTTCTCTCCCTTAGTACCATCCACAAAGATCAGATATTTGGGAAAATAAATGATAACAAAAGAGCTGTAGGGAAGAGGATTAGGAGAGGATTAGTGAAAGGGTTTATCCCTAGCTAAGCAGGCAATGTCAAGAGATGTACTTCTTTAAATAAGGGAAGTTGCCCTGGAGACATGTAATGGGGGTTGATGGAGCAAAGCCCCCCCCAAAAAAAAACACTATTAAAATTTTGTTTTTTCTACATTTACATGAGAGTAGAGAGTATTTTGACATATTATGCATACAAAGAATAAGTATAACTTGTTCCAGTTAGGATCCCATTCTTGTGGTTGTAGATGATGTCGAGTTACACTGGTAATGTATTCATATATGATCACAGGAAAGTTGTGTCTGATTCATTCCACTGTCCTTCCTATTCCCATCCCTTCATTCCCCTTTGTCTAATTTACTGAATTTCTAATCTACCCCTCCCTTGTTGTGGGTTAACATCCACATATCAGAGAGAACATTCTGTCTTTGAAAAACCCACTATGCTTATCTAATTGTTTCCAAAGACCCAGCTTAGTTCCTAAGTTATTCTTGAAATAATAAAGACAAACATTGGGGATAATGTCCATATTAGACACTTGACAGCTAAAAACCCAAGACTATAAAGAAGAATGTTCTTCTTATAGCATCAGAATGTGTAAGTCATATTTTAAAATGAAATGAGAGTTGGTATGATTGTAAAGGTGGAAAAGTCATCTGACAAACATTTTATATTCTTTTCAATGTCTAAACCCAGGGCTTGAATGAAAGTTAGAATATAAGTAAAATGAAGATAAACTTTTGGAAGGAAGTATCTAACTAACTCCAAAGCTGTGATTTTTCAAACCCATGAGTCACAATAGCTTATTTGTCTTGAAATGCAATTGGGATTTGTTAAAACAAATGAGGTATGGTAAGACATGCAAATGCAGAAACTACCATCATGAAAGAAAGGTTTTCCTCATGGTTCCCTAGAAATAAGGGAATATGTCATGCAGAGGCACCAGGATTAGGAAGGAATGAGAGGAAAGTATAGGTACAAGTCTTTGCTGTGGTTTCCACAGGGAAAGGCAAGGAGTGATAAGCAAGCTTAAATTTGGTTAGATTGTTATGTAGTAACAAATAGGTTGAGTTGGAAGGGAAAACAAAACAAAACAAAAAAACAGGCTCAGGTGCTGGGGTTGTGGCTCAGTGGTACAGTGCTCACCTAGGATGGGCAAGGCCCTGAGTTCGATCCTCAGCACCACATAAAAACAAATAAAATAAAGGTATTGTGTCCAACTACAGCTAAAAAATAAATATTAAAAAAAAAGAGTTAAAAAAAAAACAGGCTCAGTGTCACACACCAGTAATCCCAATGGTTAGGGATGCTGAGGCAGGAGGATTGGGAGTTCAAAGCCAGCCTCAGCAACTTAGCAAGGCTCTAAGTAACTTAGCAAGACTCTATCTCTAAATAAAATATAAAAAGGACTGGTAATGTGGCTCAGTGGTTGAGTGACTCTGGGTTCAATTCCTGGTACCAAACAAACAAATTAAACAGAATTCTGAGCCTCTACATTTTTCCCTTCCAGGAACTTGTAGCATAGAATGTGGGGTTGGGTCCTTTGTCCCATGAATTTGAAGAATAAAATCACAAGGGTGTGAGCAAAGTAACAGTATTTATTAAAGTCATACAAAGAAAGCAGAGGTCCCAAAAAGGGAGGGATCCCAAGAGAGGGATACTGAAGAGTGGCTATTGTCTGGGAGTTTATATAGATCTATAGGTTTAAGGAAGTCAGCTGCCTGCTCAATTCTGGATAAGGCATTCAGTGTATTCATGCAGCCTCAAGTCCAATCAAATATCAATCAGGCATTTTTGCTTCTTTAGAGAGGCATTGGACCTCAGTCACATAGGTCTTGATTTTAAAACAGCCTTTTTGTAAATTTCTTAGCAAATATATGCAGGTGCTGTTTGTGCTCTACTGCCAGGAAGTTACCCATGGGCCATCTCCCTATCTTCTCAGCCTTATCTCTTCCTCATTTGTGAGAAATAGAAACTCTGGTGGTCCATTTTCAGAATATCCAATCTTAACTGGATCCAATTTATAGTCCTTCTTTTTTGCCTGCCCTAATTCAAAATTAGCCAGTCTCATGTGGATATTTCTCTTCTCACTCAAGGGTTGGATGTCCTCTCTCAGAGGGCACAGATGCAGTATAGGACTGCATCCAGAGGGTACAAAACACCAGAAGATGCACTAGAGTTAAGGCCCCCTCTCTCACTCCCTCTTAGCAAAACCTTCAAGTCTGATTTTCAGAGATGCAATTCTTTGACCATAAGAGAGCATCCTCCTTTTTTAATATTTATTTTTTAGGTGTAGATGGACACAACAAAATACCTTTATTTTTATGTGGCACTGAGGATCGAACCCAGGCCCCACCCGTGCTAGGTGAGCGCTCTACTGCTGAGCCACAATCCCATCCCCAAGAGAGCATCCTTCTATATGACATTTTTTTCTCCCTCTTTTAGTCCAGTGCCCTATCAAACTCAATTTCCTTTATACATTGCAGATAAGTCCCAATCATGACCTTTTGGGGATAGGCTGGAGTTATTTCCTGCCACATGACTATTTAAAACCTTTCTGTAATTTTACATTTAAGTAAACCCTATATATTGTAGGGAGAGTTTATTAAAGGTATGCATAGTGGGGTCATGCCCATTCAATAGACACCTCAGTTCCAATGTTTGCATCTCCATGTAACATTTTAATTGCTCTCAGATAAACTCCTAAACCTCCCTTGGCCTTGGCAATTTTAGGGAGGAGAACAGCAGCTGGGGGTTCTGAGGACAGTGTCTTTGTGTTCCACAAAGGAACACAATGTAATTTAGCCAACACAGAGCCTGGCACACAGAGTCCCAGGAGTTTGTAGCAAGAACTTGAGTTCAGATCTCACAATTGTAGCTAATCTCCTTTGCAGGGATGGCTCAGTTGCAGAAGGCTCCCTGTGTACTAGGCTGGTTGTAAACTCTGGGGGCAGTAAAAACAGGAAGTTAAGTCTCTTTTGACCCCCACTGCTCTCTTCTTTATGCCCTTGGAGAAGTAATTTCCTATAAGGACTCCATCTTGTTTGCATGGACCAAATGAAGTAAGTTTGTGGCCTGTCACTTTCATCACCAGCCCTCCTTGATCACTAGACACAGAGATTTCCCTTACTGGAGCGCTGTGATATAGTGGTGACAGGTCACTCTCTTCTGGACACCATGGGTGAGTTGGTAGCATGAGGTTTTGGCTTTAGATACCCACAAGGCAAGAGGAATTCTTTCTGTTCCCCCACCCAACCCATAGTATACCCAGCAAATTGGGAACCCAGTGACAAAGGTCCAGACTATTTTTCACCCCCTTGAAGATATATACATAGTGGGCCCTGACACATCTATGCTGGATCCACATGGAAAACCTCTTTCCAGTGGCTATGGTCATGGCAGATCTGAGATATCCCCCTCATTTAACAAGAAGATTTGAGTCATTTAGACCTCTGAGGTCCATTATTTGGTAAAGAGGAGTATCACCTGCGGTGGGGGTATTGAAAATTAACATTTCTAGGATTTGTACTAGTAGTGGAGGAGGGGTAGTGATCATACCAAGTGTCCCTGAATTATCCTAGCAACCATACAGAGTAAATTCTGTTTCCCCTCTAAGTTTCCAGAGGCTTGCTTGATAGCCCAAAAGATAGTGTATTCTGGAATGTTGCATGTATTGTCATGCAGTGCTTTGTCAAGTAAATTTTGTTACTGAGGTTATTTAAATCTTTACCTGACGGTTTTTTTTTTGTTGTTGTTGTTGTTGTTTATGTTACTCAAAGAGGTGTGTTAAATTTCCCACTGAGAGGATGAATTTGTCCATTTCTCCATTTCTGTTTTTAACATATATATTTTCTCCATATACTTCTATCAATTTTTTTTTTTTTGTATATTTTGGCTCTGTGGCAAAAGGTACATACACATTTGTTTTACTAGCACCTTCATGTTGAATTGAACTTTTTATCAATATGAAATATCCCTTCTTTTCTCTTGTACTGTTTTCACTTAAAATATATATTATTTCTCTTGTTAATGAATTAACAGTTATACCAGCTTCCACTTGGTCTGTGGTTTAATTGTATATCTTTTGCCATATATTTTTTCTGAATTTTCTATATCATTATATTTTATATGTGTCAATTTAAGGAAACATTTTGATTGAATTAACTTTTTAAAAAAATCTAGTCATGGGCTGGGGATGTGGCTCAAGCAGAAGCGCGCTCACCTGGCACGCGCGGGGTTCTGGGTTCGATCCTCAGCACCACATTAAAAAAAATAAAAATAAGAATAAAGATGTGGGGCTGGGGATGTGGCTCAAGCAGTAGCACGCTCGCCTGGCATGCATGCGGCCCGGGTTCGATCCTCAGCACCACATACAAACAAAGATGTTGTGTCCGCCGAAAACTAAATAAATAAATAAATATTTAAAAAAAAAAAAAAAGAATAAAGATGTGTGTCCACCGAAAACTAAAAAATAAATATTAAACAAAATTCTCTCTCTCTCTCTCTCTCTCTCTCTCTCTCTCCCTCTTTAAAAAAAAAAATCTAGACATGATCCCTGCCTGTGTGTGTGTGTGTGTGTGTGTGTGTTGCTGGGTGTGAAACCCAGGGCCTTGTGTTACTGGGTGTGAAACCCAGGGCCTTGTGCTACACCCCCAGCCCATGATCTTTACTTTTTAATTTTAAGTCTTCATTTCATTTACATGTAATTCCAGATATAATTTGGATTAAATATACCATTTTCTATATACTTTACATTTGTTTTCTTATTCTAATTTCTCCTTTATTTTGTAATACTTACCATTATTTTAAAATTATTCCATTTTGCCTTAGTAGTGAAACTTTGTTATTTTTATAGTATTTAGACTTCAGATTATAGTGTGCATTTCTGCCTTATCATATTCTAATGTAATTAGTTCTTTTATATTTCCTTGCATAACACATGCTTTCCAGATTTATAATGTCCTGATTTATTATTGTGCATTTTAATTATTTTTACCTATATATTTAAATTCTTCCAAGAAATTTATCTAGATTATTCAGTTGGTGCTCATTTAGATTTTCCTATATATTTACTAGTGTCATTATTCTTTATTCTTTCTTACATTTACCTGCTTCTATCTAGAATCATACTTCATTGATTTAAGGATGTTACAGAAAGCTTGGTCCTTGTCCCCAGTGCCAATCCAGTAATTAGGACACAGTTTTGAAGAACAAGAAAAAAGAAGTTTTATTGTTTTTCTAGTGGAGAAGCCCAGGGGATTCTTGTCCCAAAAGTTGTGGTTCTCTGTATCAGGGAGAGCGCAGGACTTTTAAAAGAGGATTCAAAGATTACATTCCACATGTTCTGTCCACAGTTGTAATGACTTGTTAATCTGGGAGACAGTCATTTAAGAGATCTTCTGGTAACATTTTCAAAGTCTGAATAACTTTGTTCCTGTGGTGGATGTGTGCTCAAGGACAGATAACTCTGCCTAGGATGGAGAAGAAAGATAATCCTGTTTCTCCAGATTTTAGGAGGGGAAGAGATTAGGGTGGAACAGGGAGAGAGGAAGAGAAAGAAACATGTCTGTTTCTAAAAATCAATTGCAGTGACAGAGAAGCAAGGGTTATATTCAAAGCATAAAGTGTACCACTGTCACAAGGGTATCTCTTTAGTTTTGAATTGGGGACAAATTTGCCTAGGTTTGTTTGCATTAAAATGTCTAACTTATGTTTTTGAAAGACAAGTTTTTGTAGACATAAAATTCTAACTGTGCAGTTATTTTACTTGAGCACTATGGATCTATACTTTCATTTTCTTCAAGGTACCATTATTTCTGTTTTAAAATTAGGTGTTAGTCTTTCTCTCTCTGTTTCTTCAATTATTTCCTCTTTTGGGGTTTCAACAGCTTTACTATGATGATCCTAGTTTAGGTTTTCCTCATACCCAATATGCTTGACAATATGTATTGCTTTGTGCATCTGTAACTCGACATCTTTTGATTCTTGTTAAATTTTTCTCAAATACTCTCTTTTTAAATATTTATTTTTAATTATAGGTGGATACAATACCTTTATTTTGTTTTTTTGTGGTGTTGAGGATCCAACCCAGTGCCTCACATGTGCCAGACTAGTGCTCTACTGAAGGACCCCAAGGCCCCAGGCCCAACATTAGGAAAACTAACCCCTGTGCCCTGAAGCTGCAAGATGTTCCCTCACCCAACCCCCATGTCAAAACCCCTCCAGCAGCATGTAGCACCTCAGGTGTTGCACAATGTTACCACAAGATGTTCCATGTAGATAACCCTAACGGGCCCCCTATCACAAGATGTTCCTTTTAGACAGTCCTACTGGTTAAACTTGAGAACTAGGTTTAAAAACAGGAACTGAAAGGACAGAATGCAATTTTATGGTTTTTCTGAGAACAAAAAGTTGAAAAACAAGTTTACCCCCCTAGGTGACTCAACTGCTGAATTCAGAGGGACCAATAGGAAGGCTGTTGCTGTGCTAAGCTAAGACCTAACCCACCTGTTCCATATAAAAGATCTATACCCCAAAGCCCGGTGTGCCAGCTCATCGAAGCTCCGGCTGAGGTTTTGCTGTGCACCCGCAGGCGCCTGTGTGAGAATAAACGCCTCCTGCTTTTTGCAGCCAGTGTCTCGTGTGGTTCATTCCGGGTTTGGGATCTGTGGATATTTCATTGTGGAGGTTCCACCGAGATCCAAGATCCCGGTTCCAGTTCCGATCCCGGTCCCTATCCGGAGGACACCCGACATCACTGGGAGGTAAGCTGGCCAGCTCAAACTGACTGTCTTGTTGTCCTGTTGGTTATCTGTTCTTTGTTCCGCGCAGCATCTGTAAGACTATATAATCCTAGGCATAGTCATTTAGTATTCTGAGTATTCTGAGGCAGTTCTGTCATTTAGTATTCTGAGGCAGCTTGAGAAGAAGTTGACGAACTCGGACTTCTCCCCTGCCACCCTGGGAGACGTCCCAGGGATCAGAAGGGTCCATTTCTTTGGGGCCCCCGGTGTTTCCGAGGGTTACACCATTTTTGTAGGCGACAAAGAAGTACAAACTTCTCCCAGGCCATCTGATTTGTTCGGTTTCCACCGAAGCCGCGCAGCGATCTCACTGTTTGGTTTCGTTTTTGTGTCATTGTGTCTGTCTCTCTATTTCCTCTCTGAGAATAACATGGGACAATCACTAACAACCCCTTTGAGCCTAACTCTAGATCATTGGCAAGACGTTCAAGATCGGGCAGACAACCTGTCCGTGACAGTCAAAAAGAAAAAATGGGTAACACTCTGTACCACGGAGTGGCCAATATTGGCCCACCCTCGAAGTTAAATGGCCCCCAGGAGAGTCCCTCCATCTCTCTCTCTAATTTGCAAAGTCAGAGATTGTCTTTCAGCCGGGGCCGCATGGCCATCCAGATCATGGCTTTTAACCTTTCAGGACCTCTGCGAATCCCCTCCTGCATGGGTGGGATCCACGCAGTCCGCCGGGAGGATTCCACCCGGCGGTATGGCGGATCTGTCCCGTCCCTGTTCCTCCCGGCCCCTCCACCCCAGGAAGCGAACGGGTCTTCCTGGAGTCGGGCTGCTTGGAAATGCAGCCCAAGGCGGATGATAAATTCTATCTAAGGCTGAATACTGAGACTAGGGAAGCAATGTTTTCTTCCCCCCCCATAACCGGCTTGAGTGCAAATAGAGATGCCTGCTGGGGATTTAACAACTTTGACATCTCGCTTTGACTTTTCTCAAAGCCCTGTCCTCATTATTAAATTAATGTTAATTAACTTTAAAGATGGGAACCAAATTTTCAGTCACAAATTTTGACACTCTCAAGGGGACTTTTAAGGAGTTCCCACTCTGCTTTCTTGGGGAAGCCTAGCACTCGAAACAACTGCAAGCAGAGGATGGACTTTTTGGGAGCTGGCTACTAACAAGTTAAAAAAAAAAAAAATACCTAAACTAGAGGAACTGATCCTGTGGGTAAAAGATAGGATTAAGGGACTCCCAGCAGCTGCCAGAGCCATTTAGCTCTGGGGAGTTCCCTGGGTCCTTATCTACATCTTAAGGATCTGTTTACTTAACCTCTGTTTACTTAAAAGAAGAGACACTGAATGCAGTAAAGCCAGTCACACTGAGACCCTTGATTTTACACCTATAGTTGCCCCTACGTGAAAACATCTGGTCCACTCATAAAAAAGTCTATGGTGCCACTGATAAAAGTCATAATTAAATGAAAGTTCAAAACCTGGAGAGATATTTTCTTATCTGGTTGTCTAATTGTTTCTTAGAGATAATCTAGGTTAAATGTGTGTCTAAAAAAAATAATAATAATAATTATAATTTTTTATTGTAACAATCTGGTATCTAAATGGGTTTCTAAAACATTGCACTATCTTGCAGTTAAAAGTTGGGTTTAAACAATTGTTTAGTTTGATTTCAGATAGTTCATGCTAGAAAACTTAAATACTTGGAATAAAAAATTTTAAAAGTTTCAATTTTGAACTGGGTAGCCTAAAAAAAAAAAAATTAAAAATAGATCCAAATATCTTTAATTCACGTGATTCAAACGGTTCAATTTAGATTGGGTAAACAGATAAAAGTAAAGATGTCCTCAAAATTAAGCTTATAAGTTTCTCTAGGTGTTCAAAAAGGCCCTAATAAAATGTTAACTCTGCTTAAATTTAAAAGTTTACAAGTATTGTTTCAAAATGTGAACAAAAAAAAATTTATGTAATTATGGTGTTATTAATGTGTTCATATCTTCCAGGTATACAAGTCTGTAAGGTAAAAGCTTCAAAAGAACATTATATCAAGCTGGTGTTCTAAAGTTGTATGGTAATTTTAGGCTTAAAAAAAAAATGTTAAAAATTCGATTATATCATTTGTGTTCTATAACTGAACTTGTTATCAATAAGATATGTACAGTTCCATGTTACTTTCTACTCTAAGATACAATTTATGTATTTTTAAGTTAATAAGAGCCTAATCTGTGTGAAGGTTTAATTGCAAAACACAAAAGTACATTACTACTTTTCTACAAAAAGTTAAAAGCTTTCAGCCTTTAATTCATATTTTAGGTGTGATATTATGTTGTGTTAGCTAATGTTCATGTAAACTTGAACAACAATTTATGTAAACTTTGTAAAATGATCAGCTTCAGAACTATAGTACTTGAGATTTATAAAGAGCCCTGCCTTACTTGAGATAAGGCTCTGTCCCATCTCACTACATGTGAAAATGGCTATAAAAAAAGTAAGCCAGATTTCAGTACAGTTAAAGTTGTGTCCAAAAGTAGGTTTTTGCCAAGATTACTAGGATCTCAAACAGGAAATTATGATGTATAACCTTGCCAGAATTCAAGGTAGCTATTATATAAGCTAAATATGTTTTTACCCTAGTTAGTTTTGTTTTGTAGTTTGCTTATAGATGGTTTAAGGATTGCCTATTAATATTCTAAAGAGGTATTGCTTTAAGAACACAACCTGGGTCAACATAAGATAAAGAGTTATCACCTACAGGATAGAGAGATAGACATTAAAGCCCAGTGCTCTTAATATAAGGCTGTTAACTTATTTGCTGGATGTTTAAGATCAAGTTTTTAAAATTAGTTAAATTAAAAGGGCCAAGAAAACCAATATTTGGCTCTTGCCCTCTGAGTCAGTCTGAATCAGGGAATAGGGGACTTCTCCAAAGGGCTCAGCAACTCTAGGCCACATAACCTCCTGAGCAGGGAGATTAATGAGACCAGTGGAGGACAGAAAGCCAAATGGTGCATTTGCTGTAAAGAGGAGGGTCATTAAAAAAGGGAGACATCCCTGATGCTTCTGAGGGAAGCCATATGGTCAAACAAGGCCTGGACCCATCCTAGCGCAAATGGCACTAGCAGAACTGAAAAACTGCTATGAAGTTCCCGAGGACTCCCAGGATAACTCAGCTGACTGTAAACAATAGGTAGAAACAAAAGTCAGTTTGACTTGCTTCATCTTAAACACTTAGCAAAGACAGTCAAAGCCAAAGCACAGCTGTTCCTGGACATCTTAAATAATAATAATAATTAAATGTAACTTCCATAAATAAATAGACTGGAGGCTACAAGAGAGATTCTTAGACAGAAATGCCTGATAACTGTCAAAGGAACTACTAAAATAGTTTTAGTCTAAGGCTTTTATTTCTAGACAACACAGGTAGACTTGATGTTTGCTAATATGGTTATCCAGCCCTAAGTAGCAGAATTAAAGATTTCTCTATTAGACACAGAGGAAAAACAAAAGGCTCTTTTGGAAGCTCGCAAAAATGTGCCAGGGGACGACGGGCGCCCCACCCAACTCACAAATTTGATTAACGAAGCTTTTCCTTTAACCCGGCCAAACTGGGACTATGCGACTGAAGCAGGTGAGAACCACCTACATCTCTATCGCCAGTTACTCATAGCGGGTCTCCATGGAGCAGGGGGGGTCTCCATGGAGCAGGGCGACAGCCCACCAATTTGGCTCAGGTAAGACAGACTATCCAGGGGTCAGAGGAAACTCCGACAGCCTTCTTAGAGAAATTAAAAGAGGCTTATCGGAGGTTTACTCCCTTTGATCCTGATAATGAGGACCAAAAAAAAAAACATTTAATGGGCCTGCCTTCGTCTCCCAGGTAAGTCAGGCGGTAGCCAATACATTGGAGATTAATTAAAAATTACATTATAGTTATAGACCCCAAAGTTCAGGACAGGTAAAAAAGATAAATAGAACCATTAAGGAGACTTTAACTAAATTGACACTTAAAACTGGCACTAGAGACTGGGTACAACTCCTACCTTTAGTCTTGTATGGGGCCCAAAACACCCCAGGCCCACATGGACTAACCCCATTTAAAATCCTGTACGATGCCCCACCTCCCGCTATTAACTTTTATAAAACTAAAACCTATGCCTCCCTCACCCCATCTATGCAGACTCATTTGCATGCTTTGCAATTGGTCCAGAACGAGGTCTGGAAGCCTCTAGCCGCAGCATACAAAGAGAAACTTAAAACCCCCTTGCTGCCACATCCCTTCAAGGTCGGAGATACCGTCTGGGTACGCAGGCACCAGAGCAGGAACCTCGAACCGCGGTGGAAAGGACCCTACACTATCCTGCTGACCACTCCTACTGCACTCAAAGTGGACGGCATCGCTGCTTAGATCCATGCTTCCCACGTAAAGACTGCACATCCACAGGAGTCCGCAGACACCTCTCCGGATCCAGAATGGAAGTTGCAACGTACCCAAAATCCGCTAAAGATAAGACTCACTCGCTGTTAATTTTTCTTGCTTTGTGCTGTGTCTTCCCCATATCAGTTAACCCCAACCAATCTGTGAGCCAGACATGACAAGTATTATCGGGGACAAAAAATATAATTTAAAAAAAAAAAAAAAAACATCCGCAAAATACCCCCTTTGGGCTTGATGGCCTACCCTAGGGCCTGAAAACTAAGTCGCAGGCACAAAAATGTGGGCAACATAAAAGTTACTATTGTAAGTCTTGGGGATATAAAACTACGGGGGATGCATAGTAGAAGCCAAGCTCATCTTAGGATTTAATTCAAATAAAAAAAAAAAAAAAACAAAACAGGATCCCCCACTTTCTGCCGACTCTTGCAGGAGCCTGAAATGGTACGGGGCAGGGCCATGTACCGCATTTGCCTGCAACCCCTTAAACATTACCTTTACTCAGGCAGGCAAAACATCAAAAAATTGGATAAAAAAAAAAAAAAAAAACAATGGGGCCTAAAAATATATCATAAAACTGCCTATGACCCTGGGGTCCTATTCAAAATTAGATTAATAGTAAATACCAACCCCCAACCAGTATGCTGAGCCGTCAGCTAAAATAATGCTGGAATCCGAGCAGATGGGTCAATGGATATAAAATTATATCCATGATATAAAAAAAAAAGGGGGGAATGAAGGACCCCAAGGCCCCAGGCCCAACATTAGGAAAACTAACCCCTGTGCCCTGAAGCTGCAAGATGTTCCCTCACCCAACCCCCATGTCAAAACCCCTCCAGCAGCATGTAGCACCTCAGGTGTTGCACAATGTTACCACAAGATGTTCCATGTAGATAACCCTAACGGGCCCCCTATCACAAGATGTTCCTTTTAGACAGTCCTACTGGTTAAACTTGAGAACTAGGTTTAAAAACAGGAACTGAAAGGACAGAATGCAATTTTATGGTTTTTCTGAGAACAAAAAGTTGAAAAACAAGTTTACCCCCCTAGGTGACTCAACTGCTGAATTCAGAGGGACCAATAGGAAGGCTGTTGCTGTGCTAAGCTAAGACCTAACCCACCTGTTCCATATAAAAGATCTATACCCCAAAGCCCGGTGTGCCAGCTCATCGAAGCTCCGGCTGAGGTTTTGCTGTGCACCCGCAGGCGCCTGTGTGAGAATAAACGCCTCCTGCTTTTTGCAGCCAGTGTCTCGTGTGGTTCATTCCGGGTTTGGGATCTGTGGATATTTCACTACCACTGAACCACAACCCCAGCCCCTCAAATACTCTCTTTCTGCACTATTCTCTCTCCTTCCTTCTAGGAAACATAAAATGTTTGATTTATTTACTGAATTTCCTTTAATTTGATCCCATATTGCTCTGTTCTTCATCATTTCATCTCTTTATACTTCATTCTGGATATTTTCTTCAGTCCCTTCTTTTGAAATTCCAATTCTCTCTTCAAACATGTTTGTTATGGCATATTGCTAGTCATGTAATTGTTCATTTAAGTTATTGGATTTTTTAGTTCTAATGATTCTGCAGATTGATCATATTTTGCAATTCTTCACTGAATTTTTAAATCTTTTATATTGTTGAAAACTATGTCATTATTTGAATTATCTCAATTTTGTGGTTTTTTTATTGTCATTCTATTTTCATTCATGCCATCTTATCTCATTTTTCACAATTTTCTCAGGAAACTACATATAATTAATTGTAGATTTATTTATTTCAGTCCTAGAATGAATGTGTCTCCCTCCAGAGAAGAAATTTGTTTTTCTGGTAAATCTCCTAAAGTGCAACAAAAAGCCTGAACCCGCTGGACCCGCCCCGCCCTTGCCGCAACCTCCGCCTCTGCTGGCGCCACTGGGAGTTGGGGGGTGGGGTTGGAGGCTGGGGGCTGGGGGTTGGTGGGGGTGGGATACGGATCTTAGCCTGGCAACCAGCCAGCAAGAAATGCAGCGGTCCCTAGAAGCCTGCGTCCCAGGCCCACGTGAGTGGCGCTGCACTAGACCTAGTTTGCAGCGCCTTTGCTTCTGTGGCTACCGGAGCTCAGAGGGCGGGTGGATGGGGCAGTCGCTGAGACTGAAAATTTAAGAAAAACAAAACAACACATAACCCCCTCCAAAAAAAATCTTGACTGCTGAGGAGGTGGAACATTTTTCCTGTAACAGTCTGTGTTGTTTTCTTAAATCCGTTAATGTATTTGTAATTATAATGTACTAATTGTAATAAAAATAGAAGGGAGAGTAAAGTAGAGCAAGCAGATGGGGGAGGGAAGAAGAGCAGGAAATGAAAGGTGTTGGGAAATGAAATTGATCAGTTATGTGCATGTACCAATACAGCATTCTGAATCCCAGTATTATGTCTAATTTTAATACACCAATAAGAATATTTGAAAAAAATCACTTTAATCCCACTGGTGATTGAGATGATTAATCAGGATTTCTATCCCTTGAAGGGCTAGTTTGTTCTCAATTTACGTTTGAGACATAGCTCTTGAAGGTCCCTATTTTAGCCAGAGTGGCTTGCCAGGGTCTTTTCTCTGGGACAGGTCTACCTTCATATTTTATGCTCTTAGTCCCATGACTCTGTGGAAATCTGGCATGAATTCATAACATTTCAGCACCCTACATGCCTCCTTAGGAATCATTAACTGCTGCTAGCAAAAAACAGCCTCAATTCAATTGTTGAGATTAACTTTGAGGTATCTTTGCCCTATTTTTTTCTATTTTTTATTGATGCATTATGATTATGCATTATAGTGGGATTCATTGTTGTATATTTGTACATGCACACAATACAACAGTATAATTTGGTCAGTTTTGTTCCCCAGAACCTCTCCTTTACCTCCGCCATTCCCTCCCCTTGTAAATAAATTTTTATTTTAAATGATTTTCCACACTTTTCTAGATGTTTTTCCTTGGACACTTGTTCCAACTTAGCTAGTCTTTTGTTGCTGGAAGCAAAACTACATTTATTTTTTTTCAAATGCTTAGTTTGGTATAGTCCTTTATTATCTTAGTTTTTATATTCTTCATTGTGTCTTCTAATGTTTAGGAGCCAGAGAACAGGTGTAATAAACCTTCTATGGAATTTTCCAGATGGACATATTGTCTAGCATAGATTTAGTACCACAGATATTTCTTTCTCATTTTATTATATTGCCATTGCTCATTCTCATTTATGCCCCTGTCCTTGACTCTTTGCCTGTTGTTTATGAGACACTCATCTCTTCCAGTCTTCAACCATTCTCTGAGATTTCAGCCACCTGGTTAACAATTGATCCTAGTTACCCAGCTAACAATAGATAATGAATCCTTTTCACACTACTGTCCTCCAGACTTACCAAAATATAAAAACATTGCCCATATATATATATATATATATATATATACACTCGCACGCACACACACACACATATGTATGTGTATTCAGTAGAGAGAAAGTTTTTCAAAAAGATAAATTTGAAAAATGATGATTGTTTCAAGTTATATGAACTTTTAAAATGTTAGCACACAGATGAAGATATAGGCTCATTCACTCACTATTGATTATCACATAAAGAAGTATGATATATAGTTTTAAATGTCATAAAATAGTCTCAATGTAAGGCATGTTTTGGTTTAAGTAATACAGTTACAGAAGTATTGCATGAAAAACTGTGAACATGTGCAGAGAATGTGTATATAATCCTGTGCTTAGTAACATTGCTTATAATAATAAAAACTTGGAAAGATTTGTTAAACTTTGAAATTTTATTAGTTAATTTGATAATAACTTAATATTATTATTATTATTAGGTACTAGAAAAGTGACCCCCGGGGTGCTTAACCACTTAGTCATATCCCCAGCCCTTTTTTTTTGTTGTTGTTGAAACAGGGTATTGCTAAGTTGCTTAGGGACTCCCTAAATTGCTGAGACTGGCTTTGAACTTGTGATCCTCCTGACTCAGCCTCCCAAGCTGCTGGGATTACAGGCATGTACCACTGCACCTGGCTAAAATTTTAACTAAAATAATAATCTACGGGCTGAGTTTGTGGCTCAATGGTAGAGCACTTACCTAGCACGTGTGAAGCACTGGGTTTGATCCCCAGCACTACATAAAAAAATAATAAAACTAAATAAACAAAATAAAGTTATTGTGTCCATCTACAACTAAAAATATTTAAAAAATAATCTAACATATGTTAATATCAGAAATTGTTATTTAGACATTTTAAAAAATATGAAAAAATATATTTTGGATTAATATTTATCCTTTTCTGAGATTCCCAGTTAGTGATAGTCAACCCTCAGTTCTTGCTCTGATAAACAAGTGATCTTAGCTTTAATTTCCACAGTATCTTTAAAGGAAAAGCATATTAATTTAGTAAATGATAAAACTCAATTAAATATTTTTCTCAACATGCAATATATAAAAATATGAAATGAAACAAGTTATAGATATTTTACCATATGATTTCATTTTGAAAATGTATATATGCATAATGTATCCAATAGCATGCAAGAATACAACACTAAATATGTTCACGTATCATCCTCTGTCTCAATTTATTTGTTAAAATGGAGTCATTTTCATGCTTTTGATTCTGTGCATCACCATGATGATGATACCTAAATTGCTGCTGAAGCTTAGTATCATGAAGATTTAATGTTTTGGGAAAGAATACTTGATAGATTGTGCCCTATATTACAAAGCACATGATGTTTGGTTATTTCTTATTTTCTGATGTGGTTTACCTGCTATTGTTATCTATTATATAGATCTTTTAATTAATTAGCAGTTTTTAAATGATCATAGTAAAATTCTACCTTGTTTTTTTATGTATTAGCTGAAATGTTCTTAGAAACCCTCATCAACATTTTGTGTATCTTTATATTAACTTTTATAGGAAAGAGAATAAATATTTGATTCTTCTCCTCTGTTTTCAAATTTTCATAAGAATAAGTTGTTTTTTTGTATTCTACAGATGTCTCCACTAAGGTTCTTTTTTTGTTATTGTTTTGGGATATCCTTATATATTCCTAGCTTTGCAGTGTATTGATGGGTTTTTAACCCCTGTAACAGGATTCTGAGCCTAAGAATGATAAAATTTGCCTTGTGCTTTTAAAAAATCATTCTGCCTGATTTGTGGAATATAGATGGTAAGAGAGCAGGTGTTAAATTAAGAGTACCATTTAGAAAGCTGTCTAATCTAGGAGATAGATGTTGGTGGTGGTAGCAATGGAGGAGGTGAGAAGTGGCTAGACTCTGGGTATATTCTGAAGGTAGAACTAAGAGAATTTCCTAATCAGTTGGAGATAGAGTTTGAGAGAAAGAGTGCTCCAGGCCACATCCACATTTTTATTTAGAATTTATTTATTTTTATTTGTTCTACTTAACTGTACATGACCACATCCACATTTTTAGTCTGAGCAAGTGGAATGTATAGATCAAATGTTCTACCCACATTTAATTTCACTTCCAGTGCCTTCCCTACACAGGGAAATTCCAAAGGTTGTGAATAACAGGACTTTTTTTTTTTTTTTTTACTGCAGGTCAATGAACTATTACTCATAAGTGTGTCCTGAGACAACAATGAATAATTAATGTATAATATATATAAATTACAAACCTAGAGAACGTTCAATTTAGAGGTCAAAAGGAAGCTGGTTTCTGAAAGTACAATTGTGTTAAACCCTATCTCCAGAAAAACCACTGTTATTACCACTACTGGTACATTGTTTCAGTTGAATGTGACAAAAATAAAATGCCCTTAGTGAATATACCCCTGGGAGACAGAATTGGTGCTATCTTTTTGTAGATAAAAATTGAACTTCTGGATCTTACCACATGGTGAAGTGCATATTTTGGCAGAGAGTGTGCATATCATAAAGTAAATTTCTAGGATGGATACAGTCAGGATACAGTCAAAACACTTTACAGGTATACCTGAAGCTGAAATATCAGATAAAGTAGTCTTTGTAGTTAAATTTTAAAAATAGTAGAGACAAAGAAAATGTTTTATAATAGTAAGAGGTTTCGTCCCCCAGGAAGACATAAGAATCCTATGTGTGTATACACTTGGTATGATTTGGAGAAGGGTCCTCCAAAGGCCGGTGTGTTTTTAAAGGCTTAGTTCCTAGCCAGTGACACTATTGGGAAGTGATGGAACCTTTAAGAGGTGAAGCTTACTGGGAGAAAGTCAGGACTGGGTCATGCCCTTGAAAAGCAGGACCCTGGCTCCTTCCTATTTCTTTCTTTGCTTCCTGGCTGTCATGAGATGGGAAGCTCCTCCTTATGTGCCTGCTCATGATGTACTGTGTCACCATAGACCCAAAGAAACAGGGTCAAGTGATCATGGACTGATACCTCTGAAAGTATGAGCCAAAGTAAAACTTTCTTCCTTAAAATTTGATTTCTCTCAGATATTTTGTTACAGTAATGCAAAGCTGACTAATAGTACACGATTCCATACAACAGAGCCTCAAAGTAAATGAGACAAAAACTGATGGAGCTGAAAGGAGAAAAAAAAATTAAAAAAAAAAAAGAAAGGAACAGGAAATGGGAATAGGAAAGACAGTAGAATGGTTTGACATTATTTTCCATGTTCAATTTCCAATGTAATTCCACATAATGTACAACCAGAAAAATGGGAAGTTGTACTCCATGTATGTATAATTTGTCAAAATACATTCTACTGTCATGTAAAACTAAAAAGAACAACAACAATAAAAAAAAAATAGTTGGGGCATTTAACATCCCATTCTCAGAAATTGATAGAAATTGCTAGACATAAAATCTATAAGGATATAGACAATCTGAATAATATAATTAATATGATAACCAGGTCTACATGAAACATGAGATTATCTATGAGGTTTTAGTCATGTTGTTAGATTACAGAAACATCAGTGAAGGCAAGATTTGGATGCCTTCCTGGTATAGATGTTCATTTCAACCTGTGAATTCTTACACTTCAGTTCTTTATAAGTACTGCTTCACATTTTATGAGGTTTAGCATTAATTTCTTCCTCTTCCAAGATATCTCCCCTGAATGTACCACCAGTGAGAAAAGGGTCTCATGTCTGGACAGACAGAGGAGTTTTTTTGTTTGTTGTTGGTGGTGGGAGGGTTGTATGATTGGTCCTTGGAGCAGGCTGGCATTTTGCTTGCCCTACCACACTGTTAACTGTTAATGTAGTGTATTGTAAGTGGACCATTTATGTGTCTTTAAACTTGTGTTTTTGTTCCCAATTTCAGAAAAAAATGATGAAAGCTCTCTGCAAGAAAAAGATAAAGGTGATAATTCTTTCCAAGGGAATTCTGACAAGGAAAACGTACATTATGAAGATGATGAAAATGAGCTTCCACCATCAAACCTCCAGAAGGATGATGGAAACAGCCAGATGGTGGATGTCCATGAGGACCCTGAAGTAAGACAGTAAGTTACCAGACAACCCGTTTTAAATTTAGCAATCCATAGGACTGTGCAACTCTTTCATTCTCTGTTATCTTGTTCTTCTCTCACTGAAAAAGTGAAGAGTGATAAAAGTAGACTATAGAGCAGTCATAATGATAGGTCATGTAATCAGTGAGTTGAGACTGTGTAGGAGACTTTGTAGCATTTCTATACATTTTAAAATTTCAATCTTGTTTTTCTTTTTGAAAATTGCATTTCTGTACATTTATGGATACTTTCTTCTGTCCATTTCCCCCAGTGACTCCTCTACCTTCCACGTCAACAATGGGAATATAAAATGGGATAAGGAATGCCAAGATAAAATTCCTTCAGAAAAAGAAATGAAAAAGAGCACACAGGATGAAGCTGTGGGGAGAAGGTTCAAGATCACAATGAGTGTCCTGATATTATGTAGGTAAGGTGCAGGAGAGGTAGATCAGAGGGAATTGGGTTGATACCATCTAAAGACAGGTCCAGAAAATGAATTAAAAGGGAAGGCTGTCTAAAGGGAAAGGTGGACTACTGCCAAGAATATGGAACAGATTCCCACTGGATGCCTTGCTTTGGCTCAAGCAGCATGTAGGATTATGAGTCTCTGAAATCTTTGTTAGATGGTCAGGAAGGATATTCAATATGTAAAATCTTCTGGAATCTTATTAATTAAGGTCATTTAGAACAGCTAATTTTTTTATTTCGAAGATCAATTTGCAAAACAGAGAAAGGACAATTAAGAAATCCATGTATTGATCCAAAACAAAAAGAAAGAAAACCAAAAAGTGTATCATGTCAGTTGTCCCCACATTAAAAGTCTTTTGCGGGGAGGTACTAGGGATTGAATCCAGAAGTGCTTTACTACTGAGCTATATCCCCAGTCCTTTTTTTACTTTTTAATTTAAGACAAGTTCTCACTAAGTTGCTTAGGACCTCACTAAGTTCCTGAGGCTGGTCTCTATTTTGTGATCCTCCTACCTCAGCCTCCTGAGCTGCTAGGATTATAAGCATGTGCTACCATGTCTAGCTAGAACTATTTTTTTTTTCGGTACTCAGGGGCACTTAGCCACTGAGCCACATCCCCAGTCCTTTTTATTTATTTATTTATTTATTTTAAAGAGAGAGTGTGAGAGAGAGAGAGAGAGGGAGAAACATAGAATTTTTTATTTTTATTTTTTTAAGTTTTTGGCCGACACAACATCTTTGTTTGTATGTGGTGCTGAGGATCGAATCTGGGCCACACGCATGCCAGGCGAGCGCGCTACCGCTTGAGCCACATCCCCAGCCCCCCTTTTTATTTTTTAAAATAATTTTTAGTTGTTGATAAACCTTTATTTAATTTATGGATTTATATGTTGTGCTGACAATCAAACCCAGTGCCTCACACATGCTTGGCAAGCACTTTACCACTGAGCTACAACCCCAGACCCCTTTTTATTATTTTTTTTATTTTGAGACAGGGTCTCACTATGTTGCTTATAGCCTTGTTAAATTACTAAGGCTGGCTTCAAACCTGTGATCCTCCTGCCACAGCCTCCTGAGCCACTGGGATTACAGGTTTGTGCCACCATGCCTGACCTAGCTAGAACTCTGGAGAAGGTCACAGTAAAATACTTGATCGTGTATGATAACTGCCTTTAATTCCATGTTGTCTTTGTTTCATCCCTTCTTTTTACCTTTAGATTCCTTATGGGATGAAGTATAATAAGACATGGCTAATGAATTCAATCCTGAGCCATTGCTGTGTACCCTTTACACCAATTGATGTAAGAGAAGATGGTGAAGCCAGCTGATGGGCACCGGGGAGGGGAAGAGGTCTGCCTCAGCAGGGACAATTGGCATCTGACATTATTGCTTCTGCCTCCATTCCCTGTAGTTCCACTATATCAAAAATCGGGCCCAATTCTTTGTCCAGGATGCTAGTACTGCCTCTGCATTGAAAGACGTTAACTGCAAAATTTGTGATGAGGAAAATCAAAAGGTATGGGCCGAGATCATTCCTTAGTATTGTTGGGATTGGGGAGGGGAATGGACAGGGGCTGGTTATCTTTGGACCCTGGTGCTTACCCTGCCTCTTCTTCCCATAGATATCTATCTTTGTCAATCCCTGTACTGAACCGAATACCTTGCAGAATAAATTCACTCCAGAAAAAATGGAGAAGCTAATGGTAATATAGACCTAAGGCACATTGTTTGAAAAGTTTCCTGGCCCACATTTCAACCTCCACCCTTTGATGTCCCTGTCACAGCCACCCCCCCACAGCTTCAAAGCCCCTTTCTCCATCTCTGTCTCTGCAGCTGACGATGAACAAACCATATGATGTCTCACAGCAAGCCCTTGATCTCCAGAAGCTCCGCTTTGACCCAGGTATGACTGACAACAGTATTCCTAGGGAAGGTGAGGGCAGAGGGGTCTGCCTGGCAGGGAGACATAGAAATGGAAAATTGGGGAGGGGGTTCTTGCTACTGCTGCTCCACACAGACCCCTCTGAGCTTTCTGATCCCCTTCTCCTGGCTTCCTGAAGACTCGTTTTTTGTTTGTTTGTTTGTTTGTTTGTCTTCCTGAAGACTTGATGGAACATGACATTGACATGATCCTAAACCGAAGACAGTGTATGTTTGCTACCCTGCAGATCATTGAAAGGAATTTCCCTGAGGTGAGATCTTAGGCCCAGGGCTGGTATTTTGGTAGAAGAGTGGAAGGGATGTTGTGAAGGGTAGATTTATATTCCCCACTCTCAATAGTAATCATTACACTAACCATTCCTTCCCAAAAGCTGTTGTCCTTGAACTTGTGTAACAACAAACTATACTGGCTGGATGGCCTGTCTGACATTGTAGAGAAAGCCCCCCAAGTCAAGATACTGAACCTCTCCAAAAATGAGGTGAGAAGACAGCAAGATGAAATTTGGGTTGAGGGTGGCTGGTAGTGCACAGCAGGATGTTGGCAAGAGGCAGAAAAAAGCACCTGCGAGTGGAGGTATCTGGGTGCAGGTTCCCAGGTGACCCTCTCTCCCTGGGTCTCCTTAACCGGTTCCCTCCCCATCTTTCTCAGCTGAGGACCTCCAAGGAGTTGGTCAAGCTGAAAGGGATGAAGCTGGAAGAGCTATGGCTAGAAGGGAACCCTCTGTGCAGTGACTTCCCAGAGCAGTCTGCTTATGTAAGGTAGATAATGCCTGGTAACACCTGTCACCCTTCCTGGGGACCTTTGCCTCTTGGGAGCCTGAGCTCCCCCTGAAGTCCACCTCTGCAGGAGGATGCAACCTTGGCCCTCTGGAAGGACCACAGTCCATACCCTCTCCTCTATCTGTGTCCCTAAGCTGTGCCCACAGGTCTGCTTTTCTTCTTCTCACCTGCTCCCCTTTTTTCAGCTGGACTGGGGTGTGTTTCCCACCCCTCTGCACTGGCCTCCTCCAGCAAGCCCTCCGAAGATGGGGCTGGGCTTCCCTCCCCTGTCCTATGAGTGGCCCTTCTTCTCATGTTCCAAAAAGGTTCCCCTTCCTATCCCAGGCTGACAAGGAGAGATTTCATGCCCCGTGGTGAGGGCCCGGGCCCTGGGTGGCTACCGTCACAACATCTGTTCCTCTAGGCCATTGGTGGAAACTGTTTCCTCCTTGGGGAGAAACTTGGGTTCCCTGAGTCAAGGAGCCAGAGGTAGGCCACTGCCAGCAAGCAGAGGCCTTCCCAAGACAGGAGGGGAAGGCAGAGGGCAAAGGAGGGGCAGGAGGAGGAGGAGGAGGAGGCGGGAGCACAGGCTGCTCAGGGGCACTGCTGCTCCCTCCCCCACTCCACATCCCACATCCAACCTCGTCCCCCAGAGCAGCCCTGGTAGCCCAAGTCAAGATGCTTCCTTGGGCAAGACACTGACTCAGACAGGCACCGGTGCACAGGAACCACCATGAGGGAACCTGGTGCTCATAAGAGGGGGCCACAGACCCTCTGTCACATGCTGAGCTGGTGCCTGATTCTTCACTACTGGTGATGGGAATGACACCTCCCCTGGGGGCAGCTCCTTTTCCCATACCTGGCCCCCTCTGGGCCCACACGGGAGACAGAGGCTGAACCTGCATCCTGTGGGCCCGAGCCCAGCAGGTACATGATTGCATTCCTGCCTGGGGCCGCAGGGCCAGCCAGGGGCAGGTGAAGGAATGGGCTGCAGTAGGGCAGCTGGTTTCTTCTCACTTCCACCTTGACCTCCAGCACCAGGGCAGCATCTTCCCCTTCCCTTTGCTTTGCTTCCTCTATCACCGTCTCTCCCTCCCCTACCTTTATTCCCTTTCTGTGGCCATACCCCTGCCTTCCCCTGCCTGTCTCACTCACCAAACCCCCACCCCACCCAGCATCCTATCCTGGGAGGCGAGAGTATGATCTGGTCTTGGTCTGGCCAGGCCATGCCCCACGGAAGGCTGGACACCCAGCACAGTAGCAGAGCCCTGGTCTCCCACCCCATTCCCTGCTCCCTTCAGAGCCTTCCATGGGGGGACCTGGAAGAAGGTAAGGGAGTCAGGGTGGGCCCTGGAGGAGGGGGGTCAGGCCAGTGTAGATGGGAGGTACCCAGGGGAAAGGAGAGGGAAGAGAGCAAGAGGGAGAGAGTGTGCACAGCCCTTCACTGTCACCTCACTTCATTAGATTTTTCATTTGCACAGTGCTATCCAGGATTGTTTCCCCAATTTGTTATGCCTGGTAAGTACGCACTTCCGGTCTTGTCTCCTTACTCACATACCTGACCTCCCCGCTGGCCCCAGGCCTTGTGGGCCTTGCCTAGATTACGTGTGCACCAGACCCTCATCCTTCTTAAAGGGCATGGATTCTCCATGGCATGGACATTTTCCCTAGGGAGAACACACGTGCACACACCCATACACACCCACTCACAGGGTGCATATACTGGTAGAGATTTCCAAGAGCTCATGATGCAGACACCAAGTGTGATCTCACCCATGGATTTTCCAGGGCCTATTTATACGTGGCCTCTGTCCCTTGTTTCCCCTTGGGCTGGTTTAACTCCTTGCTCATGCAGTGCCACCACCCTGATCTTCACTGTTGACCTCCTCTTCCCTTCTCAAGGATGGCCAGGAGTTACCAGAATCAATTGGAATTGACAATGAAACACCTGAAATAATAAAACCTTGTAAGGTGAGGGGGGATCATCAGTATTTGAGGTGTTGCAAGGGAGGTTTTGTCAATCATGTAGTTTCAAGGTGTCTTCATTTCAGGAAAGCTATAAAGGATGTGATAATCTGAAGAGTCTAGTGTTGCAATTCCTGCTTCAGTAAGTTCTCCTGGGATCTTGAGGACAGGGAGGGCTGGCACAGTTTGGTTTAACTTAGCACAGGTCCGCTCACGGTATTTTGAGGTATCATTTGGGGGCAGGGCCCCCGAGATGGCCTGTCCCCTTTGCTTCTCCACAGATATTACCTTATTTATGACTATGGAGATCGACAGGGTCTCCTTGATGCTTACCATGATGAGGCCTGCTTCTCCCTGACCATTCCCTTCAACCCTGAGGACCCAGACCCGTGAGTATCACAATTCAGACTCTGGCCTGGGGCCATGTAGCTCTCTCCTGGAAATACCTGCACTGGCTAGACCACCACCTTCTGTTCCTCTTTTTCTTTAGGAATAGCTTGGAAGAGTATTTCAAGGATAATAGAAATATAAAGAAGCACAAGGACCCCTGTAAGTCTGTGATAAGAGAAGCTTGGCATGAGAAATATGATGTAAAGGACTCAATGATAAGCCACAAGGGCAACAATTTGCCAGTCCCCATCTTTGCTTTTCTTCCCCATACAGTTCTGCGGATGCAGCTGCTAAAGCACACAAAATGTGACATTGTGAACTGCCTCATTGTATTGCCCAAAACTCAGCATGATTTTAACTCCTATGTGATAGACCTATGTGTCCAGACAGTGAGTACCCATTTCTTTCCTCAGGCAGCCATAGGTAGTAAGTTTCTGAAGTTTCTCGACATAGGTAGTAAATTTCTGAAGGATCATGAAAGACCTAGATTTTTATTCCTCCATTTCAGGACATGATGCTCTGTTTTTCTGTCAATGGGTTGTTCAAGGAAGGTGAGTATCTGTAGATGCCCCTTATCAGAGTGCTCATGACTCCCTTCTCCTTGCTGAGTTCCCTCCCAGTATTCTCTGAGCCCACATCCTTTTCCTTCTTCTCCTTTTTCTTCCTTTCATATTTTCCCCACTGCTACTGGGGATTAGACCAAGAGCATCACACATGCTAAGCAAGTGCTTTACCACTGAGCTATATCCCTAGCCTCTTTCCTTCCTTTCTTTTCCCTTCCTGTATGACTCCCTTTTTGTTCTCCCACCCTATTTTTCTCTCGCAAGTGACTGATCTGATCTACATCCATGTCTGTCTGCCCCGCACAACTCAGGCATTAGGAACACAGGCTGTGGAGTTTGATGGCTCTCATTCCAGGTCCTTAATGTGTTAAATCTGGCCTGATACTTAACACCTCAGTTTCCTCACTTGAATAATTTGGGGGCTAGGGCTGTAACTCCGTGGCAGATCACTTGCCTAGCACTTGTGAGGCACTGGGTTTGATTCTTAGCACCACATAAAAATAAACAAACAAAATCTACAACTTCAAAATTAAAAAAAAAGAAAAATGGGGCTAATAATATTCATCTCTTGGGCAGCTGTGAAAAATGAATCAAGTGAGCTTATGTTTGTCAAGGAACCCATGTTAGGGGGTCTTTTCAGTGGGAGCTGATTCATTTCTACTGTGGCTGCCTCAAACTCTGAAATTCCCTCCTAATTCCCAGTAAAATTTGTTGGAGTTTGGTTTCCTTAAGGGTGCACATGAGTATCAGGCAAGACCCTTACTGGGGAACACTGTATGTAAACATGAATATGCAGGTCTAAGGGGGCATCATTGTTTATTGTCATTGAAGTGGAAGGAAAGTCTCAGGGTTCTGTTCGTGCCTTCACCCGGACCTTCATCTTAACTTCTGGCAGCAATTCCAGGTAAGCACAATGCTGTGGATGGCAGTGGTAACACCATCCAAGCTTCCATTCAGTAGTGCGATTAGTATTGTCTTGGGGTCTTCTCAACACTGGGGAAAGCCAACAGATAGATTCAAGGAGAAGTCTAGAATAGTGGTTAAGAGCATGGAATCTAAAGTCAGAATAGATTCTCATTTATCCTAACACTTATTAATTAGCTGTGTGACCTTTGTCAAATTATAAGACTTTTCTGTAATTAGTTGACTTCCTCTGTAAATGGGGAAGAGTGCCCGCTTTTAAATAAAGGGAGTTAAATCTGTAATGTAATGAAGGTAGTAGACAATCTCTCAAAAGGTAGGTTCTGTAGCATGGGTTAAGGGTACCAGCCAAGAGAGCTAAGAGGTAGGCAGTGTAGGGGTTTGAAAGGAATCTGGTTGCTGAGTAGCAATGGAAATAGAATCACCATTGGGAGTGTGGGGTTGTCCATTTGTCTGATTATTTGAGAATTCACCTTTCCTTTAGTCTGTGCATCGTGAATGATGAGATGATTGTGAGGAATGCCAGCCCCAAAGAGACCCAGAGTGCCTTCTCCATCCCCATGCTTACACCCTCCTCCAACTATGTGCCTGACCTCTACCAGGAGCAGCAGGGAATAGCACAGCCTTTCTCCACCAAGTTTGAGATGCAGAGCCTTGAGCGCTCTCAGAAGTGAGTGCTGAGAGTCTCTGGGGATAGACTTGAGTTGGAAGAAGTGGGAATTTAATAATGGAAATTTTCAACTAATTTGTCAAAATAACACTTGTATATTTTGCTTCCAAAATGGGCTCATGAGAAAATATATATTAATGTTATTGTGATAATGTAAGTAATTTTAAAACGATGCAATGTTTAAATCAGATAGCATGATCTCATATGTATCAAATTCTAAGGAAACCACCAAAAACTTAAAATTAGTATGTTAGGTCAGCACTGTTTCAGGGCACTCAATCAATATACAGAAATCAACCATATCACCATATACTAGCAATGAACAATCAGAAAATAAAATAAATAAAAAATTCCATTTCCAATAGCATCAAAAAGTAACATATTTAGGGGCTGGGGATTATAGCTCAGTTGGTAGAGTGCTTGCCTCACATGTACAAGGCCCTGGGTTCAATTCCCAGTACCACAACAAAGTAACATATTTAGGCTGGGTTTGGGGGCACATGACTATAATCCTAGCAGTTTGGGAGGCTGAGTCAGGAGGATAGTGAGTTTAAGACCAGCCTCAGCAAATTAGTGAGGCCTTGTCTCAAAATAAAAAGGGCTGAGGATGTGTCTCTCAGTGGTTAAGCTTCTCTGGGTTCAAAAAAAGTAAGATATTTAGGAACATATTTATCAAAAAGTATAAAGCATACACTCCAAACTCAATAAAGCATTGTGAAAATGAATTACAGATTTAAATAAATGGATGTACATCCCATGGTCCTGGATTGGAAGACTAAATATTGTTTAGATGGCAGTCACTTTCCAAATTTATATTGCAGATTCATTGTAAATGCAATCTGTATCAAAATTTTAGCTTCCTTCATTGTAGACATTTAGAAATTGATCCTAAAATTCCCAAGAAAATACAGTTAACTTAGAAAAGAAAAAATAATCTTGAAAGAGAAGAACAGAATTGGAGGACTCACTAAAATGTGGCTGTAAACTTATAGTAAACAATTTGTACTGGATAGTATAGGCCTTACAATAGACATGCATATGAATAGAATAAAATAAGAGTTCAAATTTAAAAAAAAAAAAAACAACTTTTATGGTCAGTTGCATTTCAATCAGAGTGTGAAAATAGCCTTTTTAAAAAACTGGTACAGGAACAACTGGATATCCACTTACAGATGAATTTATACTCTACTCTCATGCCATAAAAAAGCAAATTAAAAATGGGTCAAAACCCTAAAAGTTGGGCTGGGGATGTGGCTCAAGTGGTAGCGCCCTCACCTAGCATGTGTTAGGCACTGGGTTCGATTTTCAGCACCACATAAAAATAAAATAAAGATGTTGTGTCCACCTAAAACTGAAAAATAAATATTTTAAAAACCCTAAAAGTTAAATCCAAAACATTAACATTTTTATTTTTTTATAGAGAGAGGAGGGAGAGAGAGAGAGAGAATTTTTTATATTTATTTATTTATTTTAGTTTTCAGCGGACACAACATCTTTGTTTGTATGTGGTGCTGAGGATCGAACACAGGCCGCACGCATGCCAGGCGAGCGCGCTACCGCTTGAGCCACATCCTCAGCCCACATTAACATTTTTAGATGAAAACATAGGAATAAATTTTTGTGACATTGACTTAGACAATGGTATCTGACATATGACAGCAAAAATGCAAGTAAAAAGGAAAAATTTAGTAGAGTTCATCAGAATTTCTAACTTTTTTTGCATTAAAGGACACTATAAAGTGAAAAGGCAATCCAGAAGAAGAGAAAATATTTATATACTTTGTGTCTGATAAAGGACATATCCAGAATCCATAAAAAACTCTTCAACCAGTCGCAGTGGCACACACCTGTAATCCTAGTGGCTTGGGAGGCTGAGGCAGGAAGATCGTAAGTTCAAAGCCAGCCTCAACAACAGTGAGGCACTGAAGCAACTCAGTGAGACCCTGTCTCTAAATAAAATAGAAAATATGGCTGTGGGTGTGGCTCAGTGTTCGAAAGCCTCTGAGTTCAATCACTGGTACCACCGCCAAAAAAACAACAATAAAAAGACATGTAACCCAATTAATATGGCCAAGTAACTAAATAGACATTTTTCAAAAAAAAGACACAAATATACAAAAAGTACTTGGAAAGATACTAAGCATTATTAGTCACCTGGGAAAAGCAAATCAGAAAGAGAGATACCACTTGTTTCACACCACAATGAATGTGATTTTTTAAAATGGAAATAACAAGTGTTGGAAAACATGGATTAATCAGAACCGTCCTACATGGCTAGTGAGAATGGAAAATGGTGCAATCATTGTGGGTTGGCAGTTCCTCACAATGTTAAACAGGAGGTTACCATATAAATGAGCAATTCTACCAAGATATATAAAAACATAGGTTCACATGAAAACTTGTACACAAATGTTCATAGCAACATTATTGATAATAGCCCCCAAATGTAAACAACCAAAGTGTTCATCAGTTTATGAATGGATAAATTAATGTGAGATATACACATACACATCCATATATATGCACATATATGTATATTATTAAGCAATAAAATAGCATAAAATTGTGATACACTCTATAATATGGTGTAGAATAAAATTGTGATACACTCTATAACATGAACCTTGAAAATATTATGCTTAAGCAAAATAGCCAGTTATAAAAGACTACATATATCATTATCAGTCCATTTATGAAAAATCTCCAAATGAACAAATCCATAAGGACACAAAGCAGAATAAGGTTTACCAGGTCTGGGGACAGGTAGAACTGGGGAGTGACTGCTAACAGGTAAGGAGTTGTGTTTGGTTTTGCTAAGATGGTGAAACAGTTTTGGCGTTGGATAATTGTGATGGTTGTACAATCTTGTGAATATACTAGAAAACCACTGAATCATACACCTTAAGATGGCAAATGCTATAATATGTGCCATATACCTGGATTTGGAAGTGACTGGAACATTTTTATTTTTGAATTTCAGTGTCTTATTTTCTTGAGCATCTTTGATATCATTATATGTTAATATCATTTATTCTTCTAAACACTCCTGATTTTCTGCTTTGAATTCTGGTGAGCATGAATGTTAGTCACAGATATTTTAGTTTTCATAAGGTCATTATTCATCATTACAATGGTACTCATTCTGGCTCATGTATCCTAGCATAAGAGTGGCATTAGGAGGTGGCATTTTGTAGCCAGTGTGCATGTTCTGTGATGTCATGGAGATCACCTGTTTTTCAGGTGCCTTGAAGACAAGGAGGAGAACTAACCAGAGTTGGTCAGGTCTTCACTGTGTTCCAAGTGAGGTATGGGAATCAAGGGATGAAAAATGGACTCTGAACCTTTGGAAAAGTGGTGGCCTGGGGATGGGCATGGGGATGGGGATGCAACACAGGGCACCTGGTTCTTCTAAAAGCCTAACTCCTCCATTCCTTCTAGGTCAAGAATCCAGAGGAGACCTTGAATATCATTTTCCTTTTAATCCACATTATTGTGTCTCTCTTACTAACTTACGACCATGCCCATGGCTGAGGTTGACAGTCTTGTTGTTCAAGAAGCCAAAGTTAACTTGTAGGTCAGGTAATACAACCATCCAAAAAGCCAGTTGTTATGATTATTTTTCACCACTGAAGATGGCTGTTTATTATCATAATAAAGAGTGAAATTGCATGTTGCATTTATGTGTCCTGGGTTGCTCTTCCCCTGCCCTAGCCATGAGCCAAGGGAGTCAGGACTGAAAGACCATGTGTACCACCACACACCACCCAGTTCATCCCTGGGAAGCCAGGTACTTTGTGAATAAAGCCTCATGAGAAAGGACACATGCTACTTTAGTAATTCACTTTTGGAGACATTAGGGGCTCTGTGAGATGCTCTTTGAGGAGGCCCACAGAAGCAGGCATATGCACTGGTACAACAGGTGCTTCTCAAGGATGTCTCTTGGCTATTGGGGGCTGCAGAAGGAAAGGATTAAGGGAAGGAAGGAAGAAAGGTAAGTAGGTGAGGGCTTACATATTTTACTTCTCATTCCTAGTCATTTGAGCATTTTCATAGATCATACCATGCTCAACTTTGTGATTTGTGCACAGGTGAATGGGAAATGGGCCTTTCCACAGCTCTCCCTGCACTTCCATCTGTCTTCCCGCCCCTTCCCCTTCCTGATGGTACCCTAGAAGGAGACTCCTGTCAGCACCTGCAGGGAGAGGGAGAGTCTCAAAGAGCTGACAGCAGATGTTCAGTGTCCATGATCTTGAGTGGCTTCAGCCACCTATGGTCACTTCCAAATAACAACATCATTGTGGTCAGTTCTGTGGGACTATCCTAATGACTGACTGACAGAAGTTCCAAATTCCAAGCAAGTGTTGAACAGGCTTTCTGCACGCTACATTCTCCATGCCTCTGGAATGCTTGTACTTCAGAAAACAGTCATAATTTTGGGTGCTGTAACGTGTACCTGTAATCCCAGAGACTAGGAAAACTGAGTCAGGAGGATAGTGAGTTCAAAGCCAGCCTCAGCAACAGTGAGACACTAAGCAACTCAGTGAGACCCTGTCTAAATAAAATACAAAATAGGGCTGGGGATGTGGCTCAGTGGCCCGCGAGTGCCCCTGAATTCGATCCTTGGTACCAAAAAAAAAAGGAAAACAGGCATAATTTTTGAAATTAAAATAATAGCAGTACAAAAATTTTTAAGTTACAATCCTATAAATGACACAGGTTAAGTACCACCAGGTGGCAATAATTGCCTGCATTTCTTGAGTGTTTGGCATAAATAATTTCCTACCACTTGCCACTTCAATTCGTAATGTCTGCTTACATTAGGGAGCCAGATATTGAAGTGTGGATTTCTGAAAAATGGGTACTGAGGCAATAGTTGGCATTACATAAAGAATAATGACAACTGTTCTTCCAAATAGGACCCCAGTGGTCAGAGCCAAGCTCCTGTAACTCACTAAGCCTTGGCCTTCTCACATTGGGAGCAGAGATTACACCACACATTTCTTAGCCTCATAGGGAGCAATAGAGATGGTCTCACATGGAATTGAACAATCGCAGTGTCTGGCTCAACTCAGTCTCTCTCAGCTACCTGGGTTCCCTAGTAGGCAGGAGCCATGGAAACCATGGCATGGCCCTTCAACTTCCTCTACACCATCAGGCTTTCACATCCTCAACCTCCTTCCTTAGCCAGATCAGAAAACATGGTTTCCTTCCACTCACCCACTTGCCTATTCCCATAGCTACCTTTGGGCCCATGCTACCAGGCAAGCAAATGCTAACCCTGAGATGCCCACCATGTGCATTTGTGTGTGTACAAACACACTTCTCTGTATGCAGATTTTCCTATTTCTCCATGTGTTCACAAACATTTGTTATCCCCCTCCCTTTTCTTTTTGTTGTTCTTTTTATTTTTTTGGAGTTGTGGGCACCAGGGATTGAACTCAGGGGCACTAAACCACTGATCCATATCCCTAACCCTATTTTGTGTTTTATTTAGAGACAAGGTCTCTCTGAGTTGCTTAGCTTCTCACTGTTGCTGATGCTGGCTTTGATCTCACTATCTTCTTGCCTCACCCTCTCCAGCTGTTGGGATTACAGACATTTGCCACTGCCCCAGGATGTTGTTCTTTTTCTTTTTGAGAGAGTTTTTATATACTCACAGAGACCCTTATCAAATACATGATTTTCAAACATTACTCCTACTCTGTAGGTAGTCTTTTCACTTAATTCATCCTCTCCTGAACAGTTTCCTGTTTTGATGAAGTCCAATTAATGCATTTTTCCTTTGCTTCCTCGTGTTTTTGGTGATCTGTACATATTGTATACATATATTAAAATATCACACTAGACCTCAGAAATATGTATAGTTAATATAGGTTAATCAAAATATTTAAAAGGTTTTTTGGGAAAGGGTACTAGGGATTGTACTCAGGGACACTCAGCCACTGATCCACATCCTCAGCCCTATTTTGTATTTTATTTAGAGACAGGGTCTCACTGACTTGTTAGTGCCTTACTGTTGCTGAGACTGGCTTTGAACCCATGATACTCCTGTCTCAGTCTCCCAAGCCACTGGGATTACAGGTGTGAAAAATATTTAAAAGTTTAAGGAGGTGGAAATACTACCTACTGTGATGTAACCATACCACGTTTTATATTGTATACGTTTATCAAATTATCACCCTGTACTTCATAAAAATGCACAGTTGAAATAATAATAAAGATGTTTATTGTCACATCCAAATTTCTCTGTTTTCTCCCAAGAGTTTTATCGTTTTAGCTCTTATAGTTTGGTCTTTGATTCATGTTCAGTTAATTTGCTGTGTGGAACGATCCAAATTCACTCTTTTGCATGTGGTTATCCAGTTTTCCCAGCCCCATCTATGGAAGACACTTTTGTTTGTTCTATTGTAAATTTTGGGGAGAGACTTATTTGCCTTTTTTCTCATGTTTTCAGAGGTCTTAGACTTGTGCATCTGTTGAGATGGATTCCTCTTGTTCTTTTATGAAGAGATTCTTTTGTGAGTGGTCCTGTATTTTAGCTTCAATACATAGGATAAGTATAATACAAGTGTTAATTTCAACCTCCAATGTCTCTTTGAAAGGAGAGAGTGCTACAAGTAACAGTAGTAGTTTAAAAGGGATTGGACTCAGGGCACCATGTATTAACCATGTATTAATGTATATTGTAAATGTAATTACTAACAATCTCTACAGCTCTAGAAATCCAAGTGAAACAGGAGTGAGGTCTAATATGATATAGGTTTAAAGGGTGACAAATTATTAACTGAATACAATATTGAATTTGAAGGTGGGATAAAAAATAAACAAAAGGAAAAGAGAAAAGGAGAGGAAAGAAAAGGAAAAAGGGAAAGAAGAAAGCAGGGGAGGGGGAGGAGACAGGTTCAAATGGGAAAAGTGAGTGCAGAAAATCAGGTGGTATGGAATAGTTGTACATTACAGAGACTAGTTATTGGTTGATATAAATCAATGTACTGATTATCATTTGGCAGTTCAGATAATTGTTGCAGAAGTTTTTTGAAATAGTCTTTTGAATCTGTTGTTTCAAATTTTTGAAACTGCCTTCAAAATTTAAAATGCCTTTGATTTCATCTCTGACCCAAATGAGCCAAACTTGTTACATGAGTCTATATGCAGAATTCAACCCCTTCTTTGTCTGGCCATCACTTTTTTTTGGGGGGGGGTAACCAGGAATTGAACCCAGGGGCACGTAGCCACTGAGGCACTCCCAGCCCCATTTTGTATTTTATTAAAGACAGAGTCTCATTGAGTTGCTTAGGGCCTTGCTAAATTGCTGACGCTGGCTTTGAACTTGCAGTTCTCCTGCTTCAGCTTCCTGAGCCTCTTGGATTATAGGCGTGTGCTACCACATCTGGCTCTGGCCACCACAGTGCCTGGGTGTAAATAGGTTTTCACTTTCAAAATGGCATTATTGTGTCCTGAGGTGAGCGTGTGAGTCTGTCAGGACAATTGAACAGCTCCTTCACCTGATTCCTCTGTAGACCTATCTGGCTTGAATTGCTCCTCTCACTCAGAATCCCTGTTCCTGTAATATGTTTGGGTGGGTTGGCTTGAGACTTTCCCTGTGATCTTCCTTAGATCTAGATCCTTACCCCTGTCAGCCACACTCTATCTCGCAGATCAGTCTACAATTTCCAAGGCAAGTGACCTTTGTTTTTCTCCACTTCAAAGCCTCAATAGGGTCAAAATATCTCTTTTATATTCAGAGTGGGGCTAGGTTTGGGCACCAAACATCAATTTAAAAGTATAACTTATTTGGTTTCAAATCAGCATACTCCAGTGAGACAGCTACATCAATGTTTATAGCAGCTCAATTCATAATAACTAAGCTATGGAGTCCACCTAGGTGCCCTTCAACAGATGAATGAATAAAAAAATGTGATATATATATATATATATATATATATATATATATATATTCACATATATATTAGAGTTTACTTAGCCATTAAGAAGAATGACTTTATTAAGTTTGCCAGTAAATGGATAGATCTGGAGACTATCATGGTAAGTGAAATAAGCCAGTCCCCAAAAGCCAAAGGTCAAATGTTTTTACTAACAAGTGGAAGCTAACACACAATAAGGGGAAGGGAGGGACAGAAAAGAGAAATTCAGTAGATTAGACAAGGAGGAATGAAGGGAGGGGAGGGGGCATAGTAAAAAGAAATACAATAGAATGAATCTAACATAATTTTCCTATGCACATATATGAATACACCACAGTGAATCCCACCATTATGTATATCCACAAGAATGGGGCTCAGAGGAATTCACAGTGCTGCAGCAGCTCTGCAAGAATAAGTTATATTCCATGTTTGTATAATTATATGAAAATGGATTCTACTGTTATATATAACTAAAAAGAACCAGTAAAAATAAATAAAATTTTAAAAAATTTAAAATCTATCATAGAAAGTACCAGACCAAAAGAAAAAGAGAAATAAAGAAACAAACATAAATCCAGCCAGTTAGCCAGGAGAAAAAAAATGTGATTTCTGGAAAACAGTGGTAAGCTGTAGGAGTTCCAAGCTTGCTTAATACCTCCCTTCAAGCTATTCTCAATGCTTCCCCAGCTCTATCACCTCTGTTAGAGCTATTCTGGTATCTTAGTTGGGGCTTATCAGTTCTGTCTCCAGC